AGATCCAAGTTGAATCAAGTCATTTGAAGCTGTGACCAGAAACGCTATGAACGTTTGAAGCCGCTGTGCAGAAATCCGACTGTGCACTCTATCTTTCGTTTTAGGCACATTGGAGCCTACTGTGACTATAACAAGTGGTATCAGAGCCCCTTGGAGCAGTTTCGACAATGGCTGGACCTGAGGAAAGGGGTGGCAGAGGTGCTGGTGGCAGAGGAGAAGCCCAAGCTCAAGGCCAACCCCGTGACTCAGCCATGGCGCCCGTGCAACCAAGTGTTGGCCCATCTAGGGATGAGCCTAGAGTGTTTGGCCTTGACAAGTTCAATGGTGACAACTTTGCTGAGTGGTCCTTCAGAATGGAGAACATATTTGACCACTATGACCTGCTGGAGGTGATGGAAGGAACGGAGAAGCGTCCCGAGAACGACCCGGAGAAGAGCCCGTGGGTGCGGAAGAGCGCACAAGGCTACCTCCTACTTGGGCAAGCGTTGGGGAGCAGCCAAATCCGTCACATCAAGCCTTTCCAGCGTGAACCAGAGAAGGGACCAAAAGCATGGGCTGCTCTCAAGGGTGTACACGCTCCTGCAACAGCGGCGGTAGCTGTGGTGTTGGAACGGCAAATGGCGACGTTACGAATTGAAGAGGATGAAGCGGTTGAAGAAGGGGTGCAGAAATTCTTCGACTTGTTGACGCGGCTTGAGGGAGCTGATTTGAACTATAGTGAGCTCCAAAAGAAGACCAAGTTGCTGGCCCTACTCCCGGAGTCATGGTCCTCGCTCATCATCAACCTTAATCGCGACTTGCCCCGCCTCTCGCTTGAAGACGTGAAGCGAGCTATCCTTCAAGAGGATTTCCGCCGCCGTGAGTTGGCGAGTGCGGATGGCGCTGGGGCAGCGAGCATCGGCCGTGGATATGGTCGAGGAAGAGGCAGAGGACGAGGGGGAGGAAGGTTTGGTGGCAGCAACTTCGGCGGAGGCCGCTGGGAGTGGCGGTTACGGCAGCGACGACAAGAGCTACGGACGCGGTCGCGGCCGATTCGACGGCGAGTGTCACTATTGCCACAAGAGCGGACACATGTGGCGCGACTGCTACAAACTCCCTGATGGTTGGACCCCTGCTCAAGGCCAAGAGGGTAGAGGAGCAGGAGGAGGGAGAGGACGAGGCCGTGGAGGCCGTGGCGGTCGCGGTGGCGGAGCTGCAAACATGAAGAGCGGAGACAACGACAAGGACCCGAGCGACGATCGATACCCGGGTCTATTCTACTTCGTGTCGACGCAAGTACCGGCTGGTCCAGAGAAGGATGAAGGCTTTGAGGAGCCAGCAGCTGTGGGGAAGGTGACCCTACACCCCCTGGACTATTGGGTGATTGATAGTGGCGCTACCTATAGCATGACACCTCGCCCGGACTTGCTCACCGAACTCGAGCCGTCACCGGTGAAGCATGTCACATCGGCTTTGGGGCAGCGAGCAGAGGTGAAAGGCATGGGGAAGGCCATGTTCAAGGGTGCTGATGGGAAGATGGTGGGCCTCAAGAACGTGCTTTGGGTGCCCAGCCTTGCTGCGAACCTGATTTCCGTGCGGCGGTTGGCAAAGGCCGGCATGGACACTAACTCGAAGGGAGCCAAGACCTACACCGCAAGGCTTGGCGATCGGATTCTTTGGGACCTTCATGAGGACAGAGATGTCTACAACGAGATGTGGCAGATCCCTGTGGTCCCAATGCCTAAGGAGAGGCAAGTGGCAGCAAGCGTCAGCACTAAAGGTGGAGCGATTGGTAGCGGCGATTGCGCGGACGGTCGCGCTAAGGAGAAGGAGTCCAAGAAGTGCAATCTTGGAGGGACCAGCAAGTTCAGTGAACCTAAGGAGAGTGGTGCAGCAACCAAGGAGCAGCAAAAGGGTGAGGAGAACCCCGAGGCAACAGCGGAGGAGGACTACGGAGAGAGTATGTGGGGCGCTATTGCGAGCGCGGCATTCTCCAATCCAACTTCGGCTACGGGGGAGTGTGATTGGCTCACCTTGCATCGGCGCATGGGGCATGTGGCCCTGCCCTATCTTGCAGCAGCTAGTGAAGAATGAGATGGTTGCTGGCATACGTGTGAAGGGGGAGCCCGATGAGGTACTTGGCTGCCCGACGTGCATGCAAGCCAAGTTCACCCGGTTTCCAGTTCTCTAGTTCGGAGGCAACGGCTAAGGCACCAGCTTGATGAGGTGGTGATGGACGTGGTGGGCCCCCTGAAGCTTGGAGCTGCTGGAGCTGAGTACTTCCTCACTATTGTGGACGTCTACACCCGTATGACTTGGGTGTACGTGCTGGCCAAGAAGAGCGACGTGGCTGAAACGTTGAAGGCGGATTGGTTCCCGATGGTGGAGCGGCAACAAGACCGTCTAGTCAAGTCAATCCGCACCGATCGAGGGGGAGAGTTCCTGAGCAAGGAGTTTGGGTTGTGGCTGAAGAAGAATGGTATTCGACACTCCCTCACCATGCCATACTCCCCTGCAATGAACGGCATCGCTGAGCGAGCGAACCGCACAATCACGGAGGCGGCACGCGGGTTGCTCATTGAAGCCGGGCTACCCGACTATTTCTGGCCTGATGCGGTGCGGAGCGCATGTGTGGCCAAGAACAGAGCCTTGACTCATGTGGGAGCAGACAAATGGGTGCCCTATGTGGAGTGGCTAGGAAGGAAGCCAAAGGTGGATATGCTTCGGGTGTTCGGGTGCATGTGCATGGCGCTTGTGCCTAAGCATCTTCGGCACAACAAGCTTGGTGCCAAGGCGGTGTGGGCCGTGCACTTGGGCATGGCTCAAAACAGCAAGGGATGGCTTCTTTGGGACCCATTCACCAAGAAGTTCTTGGTGAGCAGGGACTGCAAGTTCATGGAGAACTTCATGTACAAGGATTGGAAGGCGGAGAATGAGGCGAAGATAGGCGTGCGGTTTGGGGAGGTGAAGAGTTCCGGTTTGGAGCATGTGGAGCTGCCTTTGGAGCTGAGCAGCGGCAGCACAACCACGAGGCAATCCTCCCTTGTGCAATGGGGGAGAGGAGGCCACTGATGCAGAGGAAGAAGAGGAGGAGGTGCAGCAAGTGAGCGAGCGTGCACCGTCACTCCCTTCCCGTACCACGAGTGCTCCACGGAATCGAGCCACACCGCAGCAACGCCAAGGCCTTCAAGTCCCTGCAGCTGAGGAGGAAGGAAGGGGGAAGAGGAGAGTTCAACCCCCTAATAGGCTGACCTATGATGCACTTGGAAAGCAAGGCAAGACAGCCCTGGCCGGAGCGGCAATGATGGTCGGAGACGACGAGGAGAGTGACTACGAGGAGTGTGCCTTCGCGTTCTTCTCTCCGGTGGAGATGCCAGGGAGAACCAGCAACTCTCAAGGAGGCTTTGGAGAGTAGTGATGCTGAGGAGTGGAAGAATGCCATGGAGAGTGAGCTGAAGAGCATCGAGGAGAATGACACGTTTGAATTGGTGGAGCTACCGGAGGGGCGTACGGCGATAACGTCCAAGTGGCTCTTCAAAATCAAGTCGGATGCCGACGGCAAGATCGAGCGTTACAAGTCTAGGCTTGTAGCCAAGGGGTACCAGCAGAAGGAGAAGGTGGACTTCAAGGAGCTGTTTGCCCCTGTGGTGAAGCCGACGACGCTGCGAACCCTATTCGCGGGAGCCGCCATCAAAGGATGGGTGGTGAAGCAAATGGACATTGTGACGGCATTCCTCAACGGCATCCTTGAGGAGGAGATTTTTATGGCGCAGCCAGAGGGGTTTGATGATGGTAGTGGCAGAGTGTGGAAGCTGAAGAAGGCCCTCTATGGGCTGAAGCAGGCCCCTAGGCAATGGTACATGAAGCTGCGCGAAGTGTTGGAGGAGATCGGCTTCACTCCCTCAACGGCCGATCACTCCTTGTTCATGCTTGGCGAGGGGGAGCAGAGGAGCTTCATGGTGGTTTATGTGGATGACATTCTCATATTCTCACCCTCCTCTGACCTTGTGAAGGAGGTGATGCTGAAGCTGCATGACAAGTTCAAGTGCAAGTCCCTTGGTGACGTGAACTTCTACCTTGGGCTCCACATCGAACGAGACGTGGAGAAGCGGAGCATGCGAGTGCACCAACGGAAGTACCTGGAGGCGTTGGCTGCCAACTTCGGCCAGAGTGAAGGTCATGTGGCTACTCCCTTTCCCTCTGGGTTCAAGTGTGTGAAGGGGCCAGAGGAGGAGAGCGTTGGAGAAGAGGAGAGGCGCCGATTTCACTCGTTGGTGGGCAGCCTCATGTATGCGGCGGTAAACACCCGACCGGACGTCGCGTTTGCTACCGGGCAGCTGGCTAGGGTTGTGCAATGCCCTAATGAGGAGCAGGTAGCAGCTGGAATGAGGGTGGCCAAGTATCTTGGCCAAACACCGACCGTTGGGCTGCAATACTCGGCGGCGGCACAAAGGCGCCAAAAGGGCGCGGATGGTGTTGAACCCGGGCGTTTATTCCTCACCGCCTACTCGGATGCTTCATATGCATCAGAACCAGAGGACATGACAAGTGTGGGAGGCTTCATATGCTGTGTTGGTGGAGGCCCAACTGCTTGGGAGAGCAAGAAGCAGGTTGACCAAGCTTTGAGCTCGGTGGAGTCCGAGTACATGGCACTCTTCCGTGCCGTACGGGAGATTGTGTGGCAGCGGCGTTTGTTGGCTGAATTGGGGGAGGAGCAGCAAGGACCTACCCCACTATATTGTGACAGCCAGGGTGCCATTGCTCTTGCTAAGAACCCTGTGTTGCATGGACTCACGAAGCACATGAGGGTGAAGTGGCATTGGACGAGGAGCATGGTAACCGCGGGTGAAGTTGAGTTGCGCTACGTGAAAACCACGGGGCAGCCGGCTGACATGATGACCAAGAGGCTGGTGGAGCAGCAGCATTGGAAGTGTTGCAAGCTGGCTGGGATGGCTCTGAACTGAGAGAGCAACATATCCGAAGGGCCAACAATCCGAGGGGGAGTTTGTTGGTGCAACCCTATGGTTTGCACTCGGCTTGTTGTCCGTGTGCGTGCATGTGTGTGTGTGTATGGAATGGTATGAGGGCATGGGATAATATATATTTCATGCTTATAATTGTGTGTGAATGTTGAGTCATGATGTCGAGTGTATGTGTCGGGTCAATAGCGAGTTATCGCTAGACGCGTGTTACGCGGTCGTTTGTGTCTCGCGCGCAGGTTTCTATTTTGTCGTGCGCGGTTTCTATTTTGTCCTGTGTCGAACGTTCGGTGTGTCGCAGGTGTGTGCAGCAGACCCATCAAGAACTCAAGGATGAGTTTGTGATGAAGAGCCCGAGCCTTGGTGTCAAGCCTCAAGTGATTTCAAAGCTCGCCAAAAGGGTACACCTCAAGATATTGAAGATAGTTACATTACTTTGTGTAGTGTAACATTTCACTTGGTGTAGGCCCTAGTGAAGGGTAGTTTCGAGACCCTTCGTGGTTGGGGACAGTGTGGCACTGTTCCACATCACTGTACCTCGGCTCTTGGGGTTTGTAGGAGCTGGGAGTCATTCCCAACTCGTAACTCTTCAGATCTCTTCCTATTTTGTGTTCTAAGACTATAGTGGCTGCCATAGTGCCGTTCGTTCAAACCGACACTGTGTCGTCAATACTTGGTCAAATCGTGCGATCTAAATTGCCTATTGTAGGCGACAATAAGACGCTCCAGATCCAAGTTGAATCAAGTCATTTGAAGCTGTCACCAGAACGCTATGAACGTTTGAAGCCGCTGTGCAGAAATCCGACTGTGCACTCTATCTTTCGTTTTAGGCACATTGGAGCCTACTGTGACTATAACAATCACCCTACCCCATTCTCCCGCTTTCCATCACCCAGCCCCATTCTCCTTCTTTCCATCACCCCACCCAATTCTCCCGCTTTCCATCACCCCGCCCCATTCTCCCTCTTTTCACCACCCCGCCCCATTCTCCCGCTTTCCACCACCCCGCTCCATTCTCCCGCTTTCCATCACCCCGCCCAATTCTCCCTCTTTCCATCACCCCTCCCCATTCTCCCTCTTTCCATCACGCCGCCACATTCTCCCGCTTTCCATCACCCCGCCTCATTATCCCTCTTTCCATCACCCCGCCCCATTCTCCCGCTTTCCATCACACCGCCCCATTCTCCCTCTATCCACCACCCCGCCCTATTCTCCCTCTTTCCATCACCCCGCCCCATTCTCCCGCTTTTCATCACCCCGCCCCATTCTCCCGCTTTCCATCACCCCTCCCCATTCTCCCGCATTCCATCACCCCGCCCCATTCTCCCGCTTTCCATCACCCCGCCCCATTCTCCCTTTTTCCATCACCCCGCCCTGTTCTCCCTCTTTCCATCACCCCGCCCCATTCTCTCGCTTTCCATCACCCCGCCCCATTCTCCCGCTTTCCATCACCCCACCCCATTCTCCCGCTTTCCATCACCCTGCTCCATTCTCCCGCTTTCCATCACCCCGCCCAATTCTCCCTCTTTCCATCACCCCTCCCCATTCTCCCTCTTTCCATCACCCCGCCCCATCCTCCCGCTTTCCATCACCCCGCCCCATTCTCCCGCTTTCTATCACCCCGTCCCATTGTCCCGCTTTCCATCACCCCGCCCCATTCTCCCGCTTTCCATCACCCCGCCCCTTTCTCCCGCTTTCCATCACCCCGCCCCATTCTCCCGCTTTCCATCACCCCGCCCCTTTCTCCCTCTTTCCATCACCCCGCCCCATTCTCCCGCTTTCCATCACCCCGCCCCATTCTCCCGCTTTCCATCACCCCACCCCATTCTCCCGTTTTCCATCACCCCGCCCCATTCTCCCCCTTTCCATCACCCCGTCCCATTCTCCCTCTTTCTATCACCCCACCCCATTCTCCCTCTTTCCATCGCCCCGCCCCATTCTTCCGCTTTTCATCACCCCGCCCCATTCTCCCTCTTTCCATCACCCCGCCCAATTCCCCCTCTTTCCATCAGCCTGCCCCATTCTCCCGCTTTCCATCACCCCACCCCATTCTCCCGTTTTCCATCACCCCGCCCCATTCTCCCGCTTTCCATCACCCCGCCCCATTCTCCCGCTATCCATCACCCTGCCCCATTCTCCCGCTTTCCATCACCCCGCCCCATTCCCGCTTTCCATCACCCCGCCCCATTCTCCCGCTTTCTATCACCCCGCCCTATTCTCCCGCTTTCCATCACCCTGCCCCATTCTCTCGTTTTCCATCACCCCGCCCCATTCTCCCCCTTTCCATCACCCCGCCCCATTCTCCCTCTTTTCATCACCCCGCCCCATTCTCCCTCTTTCTATCACCCCACCCCATTCTCCCTCTTTCCATCACCCCGTCCCATTCTTCCGCTTTTCATCACCCCGCCCCATTCTCCCTCTTTCCATCACCCCGCCCCATTCCCCCTCTTTCCATCAGCCTGCCCCATTCTCCCGTTCTCCATCACCCCGCCCTATTCTCCCTATTTCTATCACCCCGCCCCATTCTCCCGCTTTCCATCACCCCGCCCCATTCTCCCGCTATCCATCACCCCGCCCCATTCTCCCGCTTTCCATCACCCCGCCCCATTCCCGCTTTCCATCACCCCGCCCTATTCTCCCGCTTTCCATCACCCCGCCCCATTCTCCCGCTTTCCATCACCCCGCCCCATTCTCCCGCTTTCCATAACCCCGCCCCATTCTCCCGCTTTCCATCACCCTGCCCCATTCTCCCGCTTTCCATCACCCCAAGCCATTCTCCCTCTTTCCATCACCCCGCCCCATTCTCCCGCTATCCATCACCCCGGCCCCATTCTCCCGCTTTCCATCACCCCGCCCCATTCCCGCTTTCCATCACCCCGCCCTATTCTCCCGCTTTCCATCACCCCGCCCCATTCTCCCGCTTTCCATCACCCCGCCCCATTCTCCCGCTTTCCATAACCCCGCCCCATTCTCCCGCTTTCCATCACCCCGCCCCATTCTCCCGCTTTCCATCACCCCGCCCCATTGTCCCTCTTTCCATCACCCCGCCCCATTCTCCCTCTTTCCATCACCCTGCCCCATTCTCCCTCTTTCCATCACCCCACCTCATTCTCCCGCTTTCAATCACCCCACCCCATTCTCCCCCTTTCCATCACCCCGCCCCATCCTCCCGCTTTTCATCACCCCGCCCCATTCTCCCGCTTTCCATCACCCCGCCCCATTCTCCCGCTTTCCATCACCCCGCCCCATTCTCCTGCTTTCCATCACCCCGCCCCATTCTTCCGCTTTCCATCACCCCGCCCCATTCACCCCGCCCCATTCTCCCTCTTTCCATCAACCCGCCCCATTCTTCCGCTTTTCATCACCCTACCCCATTCTCCCTCGTTCCATCACCCCGCCCCATTCCCCGTCTTTCCATCAGCCTGCCCCATTCTCCCGCTTTCCATCACCCCACCACATTCTCCCGTTTTCCATCACCCCGCCCCACTCTCCCGCTTTCCATCACCCCGCCCCATTCTCCCGCTATCCATCACCCCGCCCCATTCTCCCGCTTTTCATCACCCCGCCCCATTCTCTCTCTTTCCATCACCCTGCCCCATTCTTCCGCTTTTCATCACCCTACCCCATTCTCCCTCTTTCCATCACCCTGCCCCATTCCCCCTCTTTCCATCAGCCCGCCCCATTCTCCCGCTTTTCTTCACCCCGCCCCATTCTTCCGCTTTTCATCACCCCGCCCCATTCTCCCGCTTTCCATCACCCCGCCCCATTCTCCCGCTTTCCATGACCCCGCCCCATTCTCCCGCTTTCCATCACCCCGCCCCATTCTCCCGCTTTCTATCACTCCGCCCCATTCTCCCGCTTTCCATCACCCCGCCCCATTCTCAAGCTTTCCATCACCCCGCCCCATTCTCCCGCTTTCCATCACCCCGCCCCATTCTCCCGCTTTCCATCACCCCGCCCCATTCTCCCGCTTTCCATCACCCCGCCCCATTCTCCCGCTTTCCATCACCCCGCCCCATTCTCCCGCTTTCCATCACCCCGCCCCTTTCTCCCTCTTTCCATCACCCCGCCCCATTCTCCCGCTTTCCATCACCCCGCCCCATTCTCCCGCTTTCCATCACCCCAACCCATTCTCCCGTTTTCCATCACCCCGCCCCATTCTCCCCCTTTCCATCACCCCGCCCCATTCTCCCTCTTTTCATCACCCTGCCCCATTCTCCCTCTTTCTATCACCCCACCCCATTCTCCCTCTTTCCATCGCCCCGCCCCATTCTTCCGCTTTTCATCACCCCGCCCCATTCTCCCTCTTTCCATCACCCCGCCCAATTCCCCCTCTTTCCATCAGCCTGCCCCATTCTCCCGCTTTCCATCACCCCACCCCATTCTCCCGTTTTCCATCACCCCGCCCCATTCTCCCGCTTTCCATCACCCCGCCCCATTCTCCCGCTATCCATCACCCCGCCCCATTCTCCCGCTTTCCATCAACCCGCCCCATTCCCGCTTTCCATCACCCCGCCCCATTCTCCCGCTTTCTATCACCCCGCCCTATTCTCCCGCTTTCCATCACCCAACCCCATATTCCCGTTTTCCATCACCCCGCCCCATTCTCCCCCTTTCCATCACCCCGCCACATTCTCCCTCTTTTCATCACCCCGCCCCATTCTCCCTCTTTCTATCACCCCACCCCATTCTCTCTCTTTCCATCACGCCGTCCCATTCTTCCGCTTTTCATCACCCCGCCCCATTCTCCCTCTTTCCATCACCCCGCCCCATTCCCCCTCTTTCCATCAGCCTGCCCCATTCTCCCGCTCTCCATCACCCCGCCCTATTCTCCCTATTTCTATCACCCCGCCCCATTCTCCCGCTTTCCATCACCCCGCCCCATTCTCCCGCTATCCATCACCTCGCCCCATTCTCCCGCTTTCCATCACCCCGCCCCATTCCCACTTTCCATCACCCCGCCCTATTCTCCCGCTTTCCATCACCCCGCCCCATTCTCCCGCTTTCCATCACCCCGCCCCATTCTCCCGCTTTCCATCACCCCGCCCCATTCTCCCGCTTTCCATCACCCTGCCCCATTCTCCCGCTTTCCATCACCCCAAGCCATTCTCCCTCTTTCCATCACCCCGCCTCATTCTCCCTCTTTCCATCACCCCGCCCCATTCTCCCGCTTTCCATCACCCCGCCCCATTGTCCCGCTTTCCATCACCCCGCCCCATTCTCCCTCTTTCCATCACCCTGCCCCATTCTCCCTCTTTCCATCACCCCACCCCATTCTCCCGCTTTCAATCACCCCACCCCATTCTCCCCCTTTCCATCACCCCGCCCCATTCTCCCGCTTTCCATCACCCCGCCCCGTTCTCTCGCTTTCCATCAACCCGCCCCATTCTCCCTCTTTCCATCACCCCGCCCTAATCTCCCTCTTTCCATCACCCCGACCCATTCTCCCGCTTTCCATCACCCTGCCCAATTCTCCCTCTTTCCATCACCCCGCCCCATTCTCCCGCTTTCCATCACCCCGCCCCATTCTCCCGCTTTCCATCACCCCGCCCCATTCTCCCGCTTTCCATCACCCCGCCCCATTCTCCCGCTTTCCATCACCCTGCCCCATTCTCCCGCTTTCCATCACCCCAAGCCATTCTCCCTCTTTCCATCACCCCGCCTCATTCTCCCGCTTTCCATCACCCCGCCCCATTCTCCCGCTTTCCATCACCCCGCCCCATTGTCCCTCTTTCCATCACCCCGCCCCATTCTCCCTCTTTCCATCACCCTGCCCCATTCTCCCTCTTTCCATCACCCCACCCCATTCTCCCGCTTTCAATCACCCCACCCCATTCTCCCCCTTTCCATCACCCCGCCCCATTCTCCCGCTTTCCATCACCCCGCCCCATTCTCTCGCTTTCCATCAACCCGCCCCATTCTCCCTCTTTCCATCACCCCGCCCTAATCTCCCTCTTTTCCATCACCCCGACCCATTCTCCCGCTTTCCATCACCCTGCCCAATTCTCCCTCTTTCCATCACCCCGCCCCATTCTCCCGCTTTCCATCACCCCGTCCCATTCTCCCTCTTTCCATCACCCCGCCCCATTCTCCCTCTTTCCATTCCCCCGCCCCATTCTCCCGCTTTCCATCACCCCGCCCCGTTCTCCCGCTTTCCATCACCCCGCCCCATTCTCCCGCTTTCCATCACCCCGCCCCATTCTCCCGCTTTCCATCACCCCGCCCCATTCTCCCGCTTTCCATCACCCCGCCCCATTCTCCCGCTTTCCATCACCCCGCCCCATTCTCCCGCTTTCCATCACCCCGCCCCATTCTCCCTCTTTCCATCACCCCGCCCCATTCTCCCGCGTTCCATCACCCTGCCCCATTTTCACTCTTTCCATCACCCCGCTCCATTCTCCCGCTTTCCATCACCCCGCCCAATTCTCCCTCTTTCCATCACCCCTCCCCATTCTCCCTCTTTCCATCACCCCGCCCCATTCTCCCGCTTTCCATGACCCCGCCCCATTCTCCCTCTTTCCATCACCCGGCCCCATTCTCCCTCTTTCCATCACCCCGCCCCATTCTCCCGCTTTCCATCACCCCGCCCCATTCTCCCGCTTTCCATCACCCCGTCCCATTCTCCCTCTTTCCATCACCCCGCCCCATTCGCCCGCTTTCCATCACCCCGCCCCATTCTTCCTCTTTCCATCTCCCCGCCCCATTCTCCCTCTTTCCATCAACCCGCCCCATTCTCCCGATTTCCTTCACCCCGCCCCATTCTCCCTCTTTCCATCACCCCGCCCCATTCTCCCGATTTCCGTCACCCTGCCCCATTCTCCCTCTTTCCATCACCCCGCCCCATTCTTCCTCTTTCCATCTTCCCGCCCCATTCTCCCTCTTTCCATCACCCCGACCCATTCTTCCTCTTTCCATCACCCCGCCCCATTCTCCCTCTTTCCATCACCCCGCCCCATTCTCCCGATTTCCGTCACCTCGCCCCATTCTCCCTCTTTCCATCACCCCGCCCCATTCTCCCGATTTCCATCATCCTGCCCCATTCTCCCTCTTTCCATCAACCCGCCCCATTCTCCCTCTTTCCATCACTCTGCCCCATTCTCCCGCTTTCCATCACCCCAAGCCATTCTCCCTCTTTCCATCACCCCGCCCCATTCTCCCGCTATCCATCACCCCGCCCCATTCTCCCGCTTTCCATCACCCCGCCCCATTCCCGCTTTCCATCACCCCGCCCTATTCTCCCGCTTTCCATCACCCCGCCCCATTCTCCCGCTTTCCATCACCCCGCCCCATTCTCCCGCTTTCCATAACCCCGCCCCATTCTCCCGCTTTCCATCACCCCGCCCCATTCTCCCGCTTTCCATCACCCCGCCCCATTGTTCCTCTTTCCATCACCCCGCCCCATTCTCCCTCTTTCCATCACCCTGCCCCATTCTCCCTCTTTCCATCACCCCACCCCATTCTCCCGCTTTCAATCACCCCACCCCATTCTCCCCCTTTCCATCACCCCGCCCCATCCTCCCGCTTTTCATCACCCCGCCCCATTCTCCCGCTTTCCATCACCCCGCCCCATTCTCCCGCTTTCCATCACCCCGCCCCATTCTCCTGCTTTCCATCACCCCGCCCCATTCTTCCGCTTTCCATCACCCCGCCCCATTCACCCCGCCCCATTCTCCCTCTTTCCATCAACCCGCCCCATTCTTCCGCTTTTCATCACCCTACCCCATTCTCCCTCTTTCCATCACCCCGCCCCATTCCCCCTCTTTCCATCAGCCTGCCCCATTCTCCCGCTTTCCATCACCCCACCCCATTCTCCCGTTTTCCATCACCCCGCCCCACTCTCCCGCTTTCCATCACCCCGCCCCATTCTCCCGCTATCCATCACCCCGCCCCATTCTCCCGCTTTTCATCACCCCGCCCCATTCTCCCTCTTTCCATCACCCTGCCCCATTCTTCCGCTTTTCATCACCCTACCCCATTCTCCCTCTTTCCATCACCCTGCCCCATTCCCCCTCTTTCCATCAGCCCGCCCCATTCTCCCGCTTTTGTTCACCCCGCCCCATTCTTCCGCTTTTCATCACCCCGCCCCATTCTCCCGCTTTCCATCACCCCGCCCCATTCTCCCGCTTTCCATGACCCCGCCCCATTCTCCCGCTTTCCATCACCCCGCCCCATTCTCCCGCTTTCTATCACTCCGCCCCATTCTCCCGCTTTCCATCACCCCGCCCCATTCTCAAGCTTTCCATCACCCCGCCCCATTCTCCCGCTTTCCATCACCCCGCCCCATTCTCCCGCTTTCCATCACCCCGCCCCATTCTCCCGCTTTCCATCACCCCGCCCCATTCTCCCGCTTTCCATCACTCCGCCCCATTCTCCCGCTTTCCATCACCCCGCCCCTTTCTCCCTCTTTCCATCACCCCGCCCCATTCTCCCGCTTTCCATCACCCCGCCCCATTCTCCCGCTTTCCATCACCCCACCCCATTCTCCCTTTTTCCATCACCCCGCCCCATATTCCCCCTTTCCATCACCCCGCCCCATTCTCCCTCTTTTCATCACCCCGCCCCATTCTCCCTCTTTCTATCACCCCACCCCATTCTCCCTCTTTCCATCACCCCGCCCCATTCTTCCGCTTTTCATCACCCCGCCCCATTCTCCCTCTTTCCATCACCCCGCCCAATTCCCCCTCTTTCCATCAGCCTGCCCCATTCTCCCGCTTTCCATCACCCCACCCCATTCTCCCGTTTTCCATCACCCCGCCCCATTCTCCCGCTTTCCATCACCCCGCCCCATTCTCCCGCTATCCATCACCCCGCCCCATTCTCCCGCTTTCCATCACCCCGCCCCATTCCCGCTTTCCATCACCCCGCCCCATTCTCCCGCTTTCTATCACCCCGCCCTATTCTCCCGCTTTCCATCACCCAACCCCATATTCCCGTTTTCCATCACCCCGCCCCATTCTCCCCCTTTCCATCACCCCGCCCCATTCTCCCTCTTTTCATCACCCCGCCCCATTCTCCCTCTTTCTATCACCCCACCCCATTCTCTCTCTTTCCATCACGCCGTCCCATTCTTCCGCTTTTCATCACCCCGCCCCATTCTCCCTCTTTCCATCACCCCGCCCCATTCCCCCTCTTTCCATCAGCCTGCCCCATTCTCCCGCTCTCCATCACCCCGCCCTATTCTCCCTATTTCTATCACCCCGCCCCATTCTCCCGCTTTCCATCACCCCGCCCCATTCTCCCGCTATCCATCACCCCGCCCCATTCTCCCGCTTTCCATCACCCCGCCCCATTCCCGCTTTCCATCACCCCGCCCTATTCTCCCGCTTTCCATCACCCCGCCCCATTCTCCCGCTTTCCATCACCCCGCCCCATTCTCCCGCTTTCCATCACCCCGCCCCATTCTCCCGCTTTCCATCACCGTGCCCCATTCTCCCGCTTTCCATCACCCCAAGCCATTCTCCCTCTTTCCATCACCCCGCCTCATTCTCCCGCTTTCCATCACCCCGCCCCATTCTCCCGCTTTCCATCACCCCGCCCCATTGTCCCTCTTTCCATCACCCCGCCCCATTCTCCCTCTTTCCATCACCCTGCCCCATTCTCCCTCTTTCCATCACCCCACCCCATTCTCCCGCTTTCCATCACCCCTCCCCATTCTCCCTCCTTCCATCACCCCGCCCCATTCTCCCGCTTTCCATCACCTCGCCCCATTCTCTCGCTTTCCATCAACCCGCCCCATTCTCCCTCTTTCCATCACCCCACCCTAATCTCCCTCTTTCCATCACCCCGACCCATTCTCCCGCTTTCCATCACCCTGCCCAATTCTCCCTCTTTCCATCACCCCGCCCCATTCTCCCGCTTTCCATCACCCCGTCCCATTCTCCCTCTTTCCATCACCCCGCCCCATTCTCCCTCTTTCTATTCCCCCGCCCCATTCTCCCGCTTTCCATCACCCCGCCCCGTTCTCCCGCTTTCCATCACCCCGCCCCATTCTCCCGCTTTCCATCACCCCGCCCCATTCTCCCGCTTTCCATCACCCCGCCCCATTCTCCCGCTTTCCATCACCCCGCCCCATTCTCCCGCTTTCCATCACCCCGCCCCATTCTCCTGCTTTCCATCACCCCGCCCCATTCTCCCGCTTTCCATCACCCCGCCCCATTCTCCCGCTTTCCATCACCCCGCCCCATTCTCCCTCTTTCCATCACCCCGCTCCATTCTCCCGCTTTCCATCACCCCGCCCAATTCTCCCTCTTTCCATCACCCCTCCCCATTCTCCCTCTTTCCATCACCCCGCCCCATTCTCCCGCTTTCCATCACCCCGCCCCATTCTCCCTCTTTCCATCACCCGGCCCCATTCTCCCTCTTTCCATCACCCCGCCCCATTCTCCCGCTTTCCATCACCCTGCCCCATTCTCCCGCTTTCCATCACCTTGTCCCATTCTCCCTCTTTCCATCACCCCGCCCCATTCGCCCGCTTTCCATCACCCCGCCCCATTCTTCCTCTTTCCATCTCCCCGCCCCATTCTCCCTCTTTCCATCAACCCGCCCCATTCTCCCGATTTCCTTCACCCCGCCCCATTCTCCCTCTTTCCATCACCCCGCCCCATTCTCCCGATTTTCGTCACCCCGCCCCATTCTCCCTCTTTCCATCACCCCGCCCCATTCTTCCTCTTTCCATCATCCCGCCCCATTCTCCCTCTTTCCATCACCCCGACCCATTCTTCCTCTTTCCATCACCCCGCCCCATTCTCCCTCTTTCCATCACCCCGCCCCATTCTCCCGATTTCCGTCACCTCGCCCCATTCTCCCTCTTTCCATCACCCCGCCCCATTCTCCCGATTTCCATCATCCTGCCCCATTCTCCCTCTTTCCATCACCCCGCCCCATTCTCCCTCTTTCCATCACCCCGACCCATTCTCCCGCTTTCCATCACCCCGCCCCATTCTCCCTCTTTCCATCACCCCACCCCATTCTCCCGCTTTCCATCACCCCGCCCCATTCTCCCTCTTTCCATCACCCCGCCCCGTTCTCCCGCTTTTCATCACCCCGCCCCATTCACCCGCTTTCCATCACCCCGCCCCATTCTCCCGCTTTCCATCACCCCGCCCCATTCTCCCGCTTTCCATCACCCCGCCCCATTCTACCTCTTTTCATCACCCCGCCCCGTTCTCCCGCTTTCCATCACCCCGCCCCATTCTCCCGCTTTCCATCACCCCGCCCCATTCTCCCGCTTTCCATCACCCCGCCCCATTCTCCCTCTTTCCATCACCCCGCCCCATTCTCCCGCTTTCCATCACCCCGCCCCATTCTCACGCTTTCCATCAGCCCGCCCCAATCTCCCTCTTTCCATCACCCCGCCCCATTCTCCCTCCTTCCATCACCCTGCCCCATCCTCCCGCTTTCCATCAGCCCGCCCCACTGTCCCGCTTTCCATCACCCCTCCCCTTTCTCCCGCTTTCCATCTCCCCGCCCCATTCTCCCGCTTTCCATCACCCCGCCCCATTCTCCTGCTCTCCATCACCCCGCCCCATTCTTCCGCTTCCCATCATCCCGCCCCGTTCCCCCGCTTTCCATCACCCCTCCCCATTCTCCCTCCTTCCATCACCCGCCCCATTCTCTCGCTTTCCATCACCCCGCCCCATTCTCCCGCTTTCCTTCACCCCGACCCATTCTCCCGCTTTCCATCACCCCGCCCCATTCTTCCTCCTTCCATCACCCCGCCCCATTCTCCCGCTTTCCATCACCCCGCCCCATTCTCCCTCCTTCCATCACCCCGCCCCATTCTCCCTCATTCCATCATCCTGCCCCATTCTCCCGCTTTCCATCACCCCGCCCCATTCTCCCGCTTCCCATAACCCCTCCCCATTCTCCCGCTTTCCATCACCCCGCCACATTTTCCCACTTTCCATCACCCCGCCCCCTTCTCTCTCCTTCCATCACCCCGCCCCATTCTCCCTCCTTCCATCAACCCACCCCATTCTCCCGCTTTCCATCAGCCCGCCCCATTCTCCCGCTTTCCATTACCCCGCCCCTTTCTCCCGCTTTCCATCTCCCTGCCCCATTCTCCCGCTTTCCATCACCCCGCCCCATTCTCCCGCTTTCCATCACCCAGCCCCATTCTCCCGCTTTCCATCACCCCGCCCCATTCTCCCGCTTTCCATCACCCAGCCCCATTCTCCCGCTTTCCATCACCCCGCCCCATTTTCCCGCTTTCCATCACCCCGTCCCATTCTCCCGCTTCCATCACCCTGCCCCAATCTCCCGCTTTCCATCACCCCACCCCATTCTCCCTCCTTCCATCACCCCGCCCCATTCTCCCGCTTTCCATCACCACGCCCCATTCTCCCGCTTTCCATCACCCAGCCTCATTCTGCCGCTTTCCATCACCCTGCCCCATTTTCCCGCTTTCCATCACCCCGCCCCATTCTCCCGCTTTCCATCACCCCGCCCCATTCTCCCTCCTTCCATCTCCCCGCCCCATTCTCCCGCTTTCCATCACCCCGTCCCATTCTCCCTCCTTCCATCACCCCACCCCATTCTCCCTCCTTCCATCACCCCGCCCCATTCTCCCTCATTCCATCATCCTGCCCCATTCTCCCGCTTTCCATCACCCCGCCCCATTCTCCCGCTTCCCATAACCCCACCCCATTCTCCCGCTTTCCATCACCCCGCCACATTTTCCCACTTTCCATCACCCCGCCCCCTTCTCTCTCCTTCCATCACCTCGCCCCATTCTGCCTCCTTCCATCAACCCGCCCCATTCTCCCACTTTCCATCAGCCCGCCCCATTCTCCCGCTTTCCTTTACCCCGCCCCTTTCTCCCGCTTTCCATCTCCCTGCCCCATTCTCCCGCTTTCCATCACCCCGCCCCTTTCTCCTGCTTTCCATCACCCAGCCCCATTCTCCCGCTTTCCATCACCCCGCCCCATTCTCCCGCTTTCCATCACCCAGCCCCATTCTCCCGCTTTCCATCACCCCGCCCCATTTTCCCGCTTTCCATCACCCCGCCCCATTCTCCCGCTTTCCATCACCCTGCCCCAATCTCCCGCTTTCCATCACCCCACCCCATTCTCCCTCCTTCCATCACCCCGCCCCATTCTCCCGCTTTCCATCAACCCGCCCCATTCTCCCGCTTTCCATCACCCAGCCTCATTCTCCCGCTTTCCATCACCCCGCCCCATTCTCCCGCTTTCCATCACCCCGCCCCATTCTCCTGCTTTCCATCACCCCGCCCCATTCTCCCTCCTTCCATCACCCCGCCCCATTCTCCGGCATTCCATCACCACGTCCCATTCTCCCTCCTTCCATCACCCCGCCCCATTCTCCCTCCTTCCATCACCCCGCCCCATTCTCCCGCTTTCCATCAGCCCGCCCCATTCTCCCGCTTCCCATAACCCCACCCCCTTCTCCCGCTTTCCATCACCCCGCCACATTCTCCCGCTTTTCTTCACCCCGCCCCATTCTCCCTCCTTCCATCACCCCGCCCCATTCTCCCGCTTTCCATCACCCCGCCCCATTCTCCCACTTTCCATCATCCCGCCCCATTCTCCCTCCTTCCATCACCCCGCCCAATTCTCCCGCTTTCCATCACTCCGCCCCATTCTCCCTCCTTCCATCACCCCGCCCCATTCTCCCCCCTTCCATCACCCCGCCCCATTCTCCCGCTTCCCATAACCCCACCCTATTCTCCCGCTTTCCATCACCCCGCCATATTCTCCCACTTTCCATCACCCCGCCCCCTTCTATCTCCTTCCATCACCCCACCCCATTCTCCCGCTTTCCATTAGCCCGCCCCATTCTCCCTCCTTCCATCACCCCGCCCCATTCTCCGGCATTCCATCACCCCGTCCCATTCTCCCTCCTTCCATCACCCCGCCCCATTCTCCCTCCTTCCATCACCCCGCCCCATTCTCCCGCTTTCCATCAGCCCGCCCCATTTTCCCGCTTCCCATAACCCCACCCCCTTCTCCCGCTTTCCATCACCCCTCCCCTTTCTCCCGCTTTCCATCTCCCCGCCCCATTCTCCCGCTTTCCATCACCCCGCCCCATTCTCCTGCTTTCCATCACCCCGCCCCATTCTTCCGCTTCCCATCATCCCGCCCCGTTCCCCCGCTTTCCATCACCCCTCCCCATTCTCCCTCCTTCCATCACCCGCCCCATTCTCTCGCTTTCCATCACCCCGCCCCATTCTCCCGCTTTCCTTCACCCCGACCCATTCTCCCACTTTCCATCACCCCGCCCCATTCTCCCTCCTTCCATCACCCCGCCCCATTCTCCCTCATTCCATCACCCTGCCCCATTCTCCCGCTTTCCATCACCCCGCCCCATTCTCCCGCTTTCCATCACCCCGCCCCATTCTCCCTCCTTCCATCACCCCGCCCCATTCTCCCTCATTCCATCACCCTGCCCCATTCTCCCGCTTTCCATCACCCCGCCCCATTCTCCCGCTTCCCATAACCCCTCCCCATTCTCCCGCTTTCCATCACCCCGCCACATTTTCCCACTTTCCATCACCCCGCCCCCTTCTCTCTCCTTCCATCACCCCGCCCCATTCTCCCTCCTTCCATCAACCCGCCCCATTCTCCCGCTTTCCATCAGCCCGCCCCATTCTCCCGCTTTCCATTACCCCGCCCCTTTCTCCCGCTTTCCATCTCCCTGCCCCATTCTCCCGCTTTCCATCACCCCGCCCCATTCTCCCGCTTTCCATCACCCAGCCCCATTCTCCCGCTTTCCATCACCCCGCCCCATTCTCCCGCTTTCCATCACCCAGCCCCATTCTCCCGCTTTCCATCACCCCGCCCCATTTTCCCGCTTTCCATCACCCCGTCCCATTCTCCCGCTTCCATCACCCTGCCCCAATCTCCCGCTTTCCATCACCCCACCCCATTCTCCCTCCTTCCATCACCCCGCCCCATTCTCCCGCTTTCCATCACCCCGCCCCATTCTCCCGCTTTCCATCACCCAGCCTCATTCTGCCGCTTTCCATCACCCTGCCCCATTCTCCCGCTTTCCATCACCCCGCCCCATTCTCCCGCTTTCCATCACCCCGCCCCATTCTCCCTCCTTCCATCTCCCCGCCCCATTCTCCCGCTTTCCATCACCCCGTCCCATTCTCCCTCCTTCCATCACCCCACCCCATTCTCCCTCCTTCCATCACCCCGCCCCATTCTCCCTCATTCCATTATCCTGCCCCATTCTCCCGCTTTCCATCACCCCGCCCCATTCTCCCTCATTCCATTAGCCCGCCCCATTCTCCCGCTTCCCATAACCCCACCCCCTTCTCCCGCTTTCCATCACCCCGCCACATTCTCCCGCTTTTCTTCACCCCGCCCCATTCTCCCTCCTTCCATCACCCCGCCCCATTCTCCCGCTTTCCATCACCCCGCCCCATTCTCCCACTTTCCATCATCCCGCCCCATTCTCCCTCCTTCCATCACCCCGCCCAATTCTCCCGCTTTCCATCACTCCGCCCCATTCTCCCTCCTTCCATCACCCCGCCCCATTCTCCCCCCTTCCATCACCCAGCCTCATTCTCCCGCTTTCCATCACCCCGCCCCATTCTCCCGCTTTCCATCACCCCACCACATTCTCCCACTTTCCATCACCCCGCCCCCTTCTATCTCCTTCCATCACCCCACCCCATTCTCCCGCTTTCCATTAGCCCGCCCCATTCTCCCGCTTTCCATCACCCCTCCCATTTCTCCCACTTTCCATCTCCCCGCCCCATTCTCCCGCTTTCCATCACCCCGACCCATTCTCCCGCTTTCCATCACCCCGGCCCATTCTTCCGCTTCCTTTCATCCCGCCCCATTCCCCCGCTTTCCATCACACCTCCCCATTCTCCCTCCTTCCATCACCCCGCTCCATTCTCTCGCTTTCCATCACCCCGCCCCATTCTCCCGCTTTCCATCACCCCGCCCCATTCTCCCGCTTTCCATCACCCCGCCCCATTTTCCCGCTTTCCATCACCCCGTCCCATTCTCCCGCTTCCATCACCCTGCCCCAATCTCCCGCTTTCCATCACCCCACCCCATTCTCCCTCCTTCCATCACCCCGCCCCATTCTCCCGCTTTCCATCACCCCGCCTCATTCTCCCGCTTCCCATATCCCCACCCCATTCTCCCGCTTTCCATCACCCCGCCACATTCTCCCACTTTCTATCACCCCGCCCCCTTCTCTCTCCTTCCATCACCCCGCCCCATTCTCCCTCCTTCCATCACCCTGCCCTATCCTCCCGCTTTCCATCAGCCCGCTCCATTGTCCCGCTTTCCATCACCCCTCCCCTTTCTCCCGCTTTCCATCTCCCCGGCCCATTCTCCCGCTTTCCATCACCCCGCCCCATTCTCCTGCTTTCCATCACCCCGCCCCATTCTTCCGCTTCCCATCATCCCGCCCCGTTCCCCCGCTTTCCATCACCCCTCCCCATTCTCCCTCCTTCCATCACCCGCCCCATTCTCTCGCTTTCCATCACCCCGCCCCATTCTCCCGCTTTCCATCACCCCGACCCATTCTCCCGCTTTCCATCACCCCGCCCCATTCTTCCTCCTTCCATCACCCCGCCCCATTCTCCCGCTTTCCATCACCCCGCCCCATTCTCCCTCCTTCCATCACCCCGCCCCATTCTCCCGCTTCCCATAACCCCACCCCATTCTCCCGCTTTCCATCACCCCGCCACATTTTCCCACTTTCCATCACCCCGCCCCCTTCTCTCTCCTTCCATCACCCCGCCCCATTCTCCCTCCTTCCATCAACCCGCCCCATTCTCCCGCTTTCCATCAGCCCGCCCCATTCTCCCGCTTTCCATTACCCCACCCCTTTCTCCCGCTTTCCATCTCCCTGCCCCATTCTCCCGCTTTCCATCACCCCGCCCCATTCTCCCGCTTTCCATCACCCAGCCCCATTCTCCCGCTTTCCATCACCCCGCCCCATTCTCCCGCTTTCCATCACCCAGCCCCAATCTCCCGCTTTCCATCATCCCGCCCCATTTTCCCGCTTTCCATCACCCCGTCCCATTCTCCCGCTTCCATCACCCTGCCCCAATCTCCCGCTTTCCATCACCCCACCCCATTCTCCCGCCTTCCATCACCCCGCCCCATTCTCCCGCTTTCCATCACCCCGCCCCATTCTCCCGCTTTCCATCACCCAGCCTCATTCTCCCGCTTTCCATCACCCTGCCCCATTCTCCCGCTTTCCATCACCCCGCCCCATTCTCCCGCTTTCCATCACCCCGCCCCATTCTCCCTCCTTCCATCTCCCCGCCCCATTCTCCCGCTTTCCATCACCCCGTCCCATTCTCCCTCCTTCCATCACCCCGCCCCATTCTCCCTCCTTCCATCACCCCGCCCCATTCTCCCTCATTCCATCACCCTGCCCCATTCTCCCGCTTTCCATCACCCCGCCCCATTCTCCCGCTTCCCATAACCCCACCCCATTCTCCCGCTTTCCATCACCCCACCACATTTTCCCACTTTCCATCACCCCGCCCCCTTCTCTCTCCTTCCGTCACCTCGCCCCATTCTCCCTCCTTCCATCAACCCGCCCCATTCTCCCGCTTTCCATCAGCCCGCCCCATTCTCCCGCTTTCCATTACCCCGCCCCTTTCTTCCGCTTTCCATCTCCCTGCCCCATTCTCCCGCTTTCCATCACCCCGCCCCTTTCTCCTGCTTTCCATCACCCAGCCCCATTCTCCCGCTTTCCATCACCCCGCCCCATTCTCCCGCTTTCCATCACCCAGCCCCATTCTCCCGCTTTCCATCACCCCGCCCCATTTTCTTGCTTTCCATCACCCCGCCCCATTCTCCTGCTTTCCATCACCCTGCCCCAATCTCCCGCTTTCCATCACCCCACCCCATTCTCCCTCCTTCCATCACCCCGCCCCATTCTCCCGCTTTCCATCAACCCGCCCCATTCTCCCGCTTTCCATCACCCAGCCTCATTCTCCCGCTTTCCATCACCCCGCCCCATTCTCCCGCTTTCCATCACCCCGCCCCATTCTCCCGCTTTCCATCACCCCGCCCCATTCTCCCTCCATCCATCACCCCGCCCCATTCTCCGGCATTCCATCACCCCGTCCCATTCTCCCTCCTTCCATCACCCCGCCCCATTCTCCCTCCTTCCATCACCCCGCCCCATTCTCCCGCTTTCCATCAGCCCGCCCCATTCTCCCGCTTCCCATAACCCCACCCCCTTCTCCCGCTTTCCATCACCCCGCCACATTCTCCCGCTTTCTATCACCCCGCCCTATTCTCCCTCCTTCCATCACCCCGCCCCACTCTCCCGCTTTCCATCACCCCGCCCCATTCTCTCGCTTTCCATCATCCCGCCCCATTCTCCCTCCTTCCATCACCCCGCCAAATTCTCCCGCTTTCCATCACTCCGCCCCATTCTCCCTCCTTCCATCACCCCGCCCCATTCTCCCCCCTTCCATCACCCCGCCCCATTCTCCCGCTTCCCATAACCCCACCCTATTCTCCCGCTTTCCATCACCCCGCCACATTCTCCCACTTTCCATCACCCCGCCCCCTTCTCGCTCCTTCCATCACCCCGCCCCATTCTCCCGCTTTCCATTAGCCCGCCCCATTCTCCCGCTTTCCATCACTCCTCCCATTTCTCCCACTTTCCATCTCTTCGCCCCATTCTCCTGCTTTCCATCACCCCGACCCATTCTCCCGCTTTCCATCACCCCGGCCCATTCTTCCGCTTCCCATCATCCCGCCCCATTCCCCCGCTTTCCATCACCCCTCCCCATTCTCCCTCCTTCCATCACCCCGCTCCATTCTCTCGCTTTCCATCACCCCGCCCCATTCTCCCGCTTTCCATCACCCCGCCCCATTTTCCCGCTTTCCATCACCCCGTCCCATTCTCCCGCTTCCATCACCCTGCCCCAATCTCCCGCTTTCCATCACCCCACCCCATTCTCCCTCCTTCCATCACCCCGCCCCATTCTCCCGCTTTCCATCACCCCGCCACATTCTCCCGCTTCCCATATCCCCACCCCATTCTCCCGCTTTCCATCACCCCGCCACATTCTCCCACTTTCTATCACCCCGCCCCCTTCTCTCTCCTTCCATCACCCCGCCCCATTCTCCCTCCTTCCATCACCCTGCCCCATTCTCCCGCTTTCCATCAGCCCGCCCCATTGTCCCGCTTTCCATCACCCCTCCTCTTTCTCCCGCTTTCCATCTCCCCGCCCCATTCTCCCGCTTTCCATCACCCCGCCCCATTCTCGTGCTTTCCATCACCCCGCCCCATTCTTCCGCTTCCCATCATCCCGCCCCGTTCCCCCGCTTTCCATCACCCCTCCCCATTCTCCCTCCTTCCATCACCCCGCCCCATTCTCTCGCTTTCCATCACCCCGCCCCATTCTCCCGCTTTCCATCACCCCGCCCCATTCTCCCGCTTTCCATCACTCCGCCCCATTATTTCTCCTTCCATCACCCCGCCCCATTCTCCCTCCTTCCATCACCCCGCCCCATTCTCCCGCTTTCCGTCACCCCGCTCCATTCTCCCGCTTTCCATCACCCCGCCCCATTCTCCCGCTTTCCATCACCCCGCCCCATTTTCCCGCTTTCCATCACCCCGTCCCATTCTCCCGCTTCCATCACCCTGCCCCAATCTCCCGCTTTCCATCACCCTACCCCATTCTCCCTCCTTCCATCACCCCGCCCCATTCTCCCGCTTTCCATCACCCCGCCTCATTCTCCCGCTTCCCATATCCCCACCCCATTCTCCCGCTTTCCATCACACCGCCACATTCTCCCACTTTCTATCACCCCGCCCCCTTCTCTCTCCTTCCATCACCCCGCCCCATTCTCCCTCCTTCCATCACCCTGCCCCATCCTCCCGCTTTCCATCAGCCCGCCCCATTGTCCCGCTTTCCATCACCCCTCCCCTTTCTCCCGCTTTCCATCTCCCCGCCCCATTCTCCCGCTTTCCATCACCCCGCCCCATTCTCCTGCTTTCCATCACCCCGCCCCATTCTTCCGCTTCCCATCATCCCGCCCCGTTCCCCCGCTTTCCATCACCCCTCCCCATTCTCCCTCCTTCCATCACCCGCCCCATTCTCTCGCTTTCCATCACCCTGCCCCATTCTCCCGCTTTCCATCACCCCGACCCATTCTCCCGCTTTCCATCACCCCGCCCCATTCTTCCTCCTTCCATCACCCCGCCCCATTCTCCCGCTTTCCATCACCCCGCCCCATTCTCCCTCCTTCCATCACCCCGCCCCATTCTCCCTCATTCCATCACCCTGCCCCATTCTCCCGCTTTCCATCACCCCGCCCCATTCTCCCGCTTCCCATAACCCCACCCCATTCTCCCGCTTTCCATCACCCCGCCACATTTTCCCACTTTCCATCACCCCGCCCCCTTCTCTCTCCTTCCATCACCCCGCCCCATTCTCCCTCCTTCCATCAACCCGCCCCATTCTCCCGCTTTCCATCAGCCCGCCCCATTCTCCCGCTTTCCATTACCCCGCCCCTTTCTCCCGCTTTCCATCTCCCTGCCCCATTCTCCCACTTTCCATCACCCCGCCCCATTCTCCCGCTTTCCATCACCCAGCCCCATTCTCCCGCTTTCCATCACCCCGCCCCATTCTCCCGCTTTCCATCACCCAGCCCCATTCTCCCGCTTTCCATCACCCCGCCCCATTTTCCCGCTTTCCGTCACCCCGTCCCATTCTCCCGCTTCTATCACCCTGCCCCAATCTCCCGCTTTCCATCACCCCACCCCATTCTCCCTCCTTCCATCACCCCGCCCCATTCTCCCGCTTTCCATCACCCCGCCCCATTCTCCCGCTTTCCACCACCCAGCCTCATTCTCCCGCTTTCCATCACCCTGCCCCATTCTCCCGCTTTCCATCACCCCGCCCCATTCTCCCGCTTTCCATCACCCCGCCCCATTCTCCCTCCTTCCATCTCCCCGCCCCATTCTCCCGCTTTCCATCACCCCGTCCCATTCTCCCTCCTTCCATCACCCCGCCCCATTCTCCCTCCTTCCATCACCCCGCCCCATTCTCCCTCATTCCATCACCCTGCCCCATTCTCCCGCTTTCTATCACCCCGCCCCATTCTCCCGCTTCCCATAACCCCACCCCATTCTCCCGCTTTCCATCACCCCGCCACATTTTCCCACTTTCCATCACCCCGCCCCCTTCTCTCTCCTTCCGTCACCTCGCCCCATTCTCCCTCCTTCCATCAACCCGCCCCATTCTCCCGCTTTCCATCAGCCCGCCCCATTCTCCCGCTTTCCATTACCCCGCCCCTTTCTCCCGCTTTCCATCTCCCTGCCCCATTCTCCCGCTTTCCATCTCCCCGCCCCTTTCTCCTGCTTTCCATCACCCAGCCCCATTCTCCCGCTTTCCATCAACCCGCCCCATTCTCCCGCTTTCCATCACCCAGCCCCATTCTCCCGCTTTCCATCACCCCGCCCCATTTTCTTGCTTTCCATCACCTCGCCCCGTTCTCCCGCTTTCCATCACCCTGCCCCAATCTCCCGCTTTCCATCACCCCACCCCATTCTCCCTCCATCCATCACCCCGCCCCATTCTCCCGCTTTCCATCAACCCGCCCCATTCTCCCGCCTTCCATCACCCAGCCTCATTCTCCCGCTTTCCATCACCCCGCCCCATTCTCCCGCTTTCCATCACCCCGCCCCATTCTCCCACTTTCCATCACCCCGCCCCATTCTCCCTCCTTCCATCACCCCGCCCCATTCTCCGGCATTCCATCACCCCGTCCCATTCTCCCTCCTTCCATCACCCCGCCCCATTCTCCCTCCTACCATCACCCCGCCCCATTCTCCCGCTTTCCATCAGCCCGCCCCATTCTCCCGCTTCCCATAACCCCACCCCCTTCTCCCGCTTTCCATCACCCCGCCACATTCTCCCGCTTTCTATCGCCCCGCCCTATTCTCCCTCCTTCCATCACCCCGCCCCATTCTCCCGCTTTCCATCACCCCGCCCCATTCTCCCGCTTTCCATCATCCCGCCCCATTCTCCCTCCTTCCATCACCCCGCCCAATTCTCCCGCTTTCCATCACTCCGCCCCATTCTCCCTCCTTCCATCACCCCGCCCCATTCTCCCCCCTTCCATCACCCCGCCCCATTCTCCCGCTTCCCATAACCCCACCCTATTCTCCCGCTTTCCATCACCCCGCCACATTCTCCCACTTTCCATCACCCCGCCCCCTTCTCTCTCCTTCCATCACCCCGCCCCATTCTCCCGCTTTCCATTAGCCCGCCCCATTCTCCCGCTTTCCATCACCCCTCCCATTTCTCCCACTTTCCAACTCCCCGCCCCATTCTCCCGCTTTCCATCACCCCGACCCATTCTCCCGCTTTCCATCACCCCGGCCCATTCTTCCGCTTCCCATCATCCCGCCCCATTCCCCCGCTTTCCATCACCCCTCCCCATTCTCCCTCCTTCCATCACCCCGCTCCATTCTCTCGCTTTCCATCACCCCGCCCCATTCTCCCGCTTTCCATCACCCCGCCCCATTCTCCCGCTTTCCATCACCCCAGCCCATTCTTCCTCCTTCCATCACCCCGCCCCATTCTCCCGCTTTCCATCACCCCGCCCCATTCTCCCTCCTTCCATCACCCCGCCCCATTCTCCCGCTTTCCATTAGCCCGCCCCATTCTCCCGCTTTCCATCACTCCTCCCATTTCTCCCACTTTCCATCTCTTCGCCCCATTCTCCTGCTTTCCATCACCCCGACCCATTCTCCCGCTTTCCATCACCCCGGCCCATTCTTCCGCTTCCCATCATCCCGCCCCATTCCCCCGCTTTCCATCACCCCTCCCCATTCTCCCTCCTTCCATCACCCCGCTCCATTCTCTCGCTTTCCATCACCCCGCCCCATTCTCCCGCTTTCCATCACCCCGCCCCATTTTCCCGCTTTCCATCACCCCGTCCCATTCTCCCGCTTCCATCACCCTGCCCCAATCTCCCGCTTTCCATCACCCCACCCCATTCTCCCTCCTTCCATCACCCCGCCCCATTCTCCCGCTTTCCATCACCCCGCCACATTCTCCCGCTTCCCATATCCCCACCCCATTCTCCCGCTTTCCATCACCCCGCCACATTCTCCCACTTTCTATCACCCCGCCCCCTTCTCTCTCCTTCCATCACCCCGCCCCATTCTCCCTCCTTCCATCACCCTGCCCCATTCTCCCGCTTTCCATCAGCCCGCCCCATTGTCCCGCTTTCCATCACCCCTCCTCTTTCTCCCGCTTTCCATCTCCCCGCCCCATTCTCCCGCTTTCCATCACCCCGCCCCATTCTCGTGCTTTCCATCACCCCGCCCCATTCTTCCGCTTCCCATCATCCCGCCCCGTTCCCCCGCTTTCCATCACCCCTCCCCATTCTCCCTCCTTCCATCACCCCGCCCCATTCTCTCGCTTTCCATCACCCCGCCCCATTCTCCCGCTTTCCATCACCCCGCCCCATTCTCCCGCTTTCCATCACTCCGCCCCATTATTTCTCCTTCCATCACCCCGCCCCATTCTCCCTCCTTCCATCACCCCGCCCCATTCTCCCGCTTTCCGTCACCCCGCTCCATTCTCCCGCTTTCCATCACCCCGCCCCATTCTCCCGCTTTCCATCACCCCGCCCCATTTTCCCGCTTTCCATCACCCCGTCCCATTCTCCCGCTTCCATCACCCTGCCCCAATCTCCCGCTTTCCATCACCCTACCCCATTCTCCCTCCTTCCATCACCCCGCCCCATTCTCCCGCTTTCCATCACCCCGCCTCATTCTCCCGCTTCCCATATCCCCACCCCATTCTCCCGCTTTCCATCACACCGCCACATTCTCCCACTTTCTATCACCCCGCCCCCTTCTCTCTCCTTCCATCACCCCGCCCCATTCTCCCTCCTTCCATCACCCTGCCCCATCCTCCCGCTTTCCATCAGCCCGCCCCATTGTCCCGCTTTCCATCACCCCTCCCCTTTCTCCCGCTTTCCATCTCCCCGCCCCATTCTCCCGCTTTCCATCACCCCGCCCCATTCTCCTGCTTTCCATCACCCCGCCCCATTCTTCCGCTTCCCATCATCCCGCCCCGTTCCCCCGCTTTCCATCACCCCTCCCCATTCTCCCTCCTTCCATCACCCGCCCCATTCTCTCGCTTTCCATCACCCTGCCCCATTCTCCCGCTTTCCATCACCCCGACCCATTCTCCCGCTTTCCATCACCCCGCCCCATTCTTCCTCCTTCCATCACCCCGCCCCATTCTCCCGCTTTCCATCACCCCGCCCCATTCTCCCTCCTTCCATCACCCCGCCCCATTCTCCCTCATTCCATCACCCTGCCCCATTCTCCCGCTTTCCATCACCCCGCCCCATTCTCCCGCTTCCCATAACCCCACCCCATTCTCCCGCTTTCCATCACCCCGCCACATTTTCCCACTTTCCATCACCCCGCCCCCTTCTCTCTCCTTCCATCACCCCGCCCCATTCTCCCTCCTTCCATCAACCCGCCCCATTCTCCCGCTTTCCATCAGCCCGCCCCATTCTCCCGCTTTCCATTACCCCGCCCCTTTCTCCCGCTTTCCATCTCCCTGCCCCATTCTCCCACTTTCCATCACCCCGCCCCATTCTCCCGCTTTCCATCACCCAGCCCCATTCTCCCGCTTTCCATCACCCCGCCCCATTCTCCCGCTTTCCATCACCCAGCCCCATTCTCCCGCTTTCCATCACCCCGCCCCATTTTCCCGCTTTCCGTCACCCCGTCCCATTCTCCCGCTTCTATCACCCTGCCCCAATCTCCCGCTTTCCATCACCCCACCCCATTCTCCCTCCTTCCATCACCCCGCCCCATTCTCCCGCTTTCCATCACCCCGCCCCATTCTCCCGCTTTCCACCACCCAGCCTCATTCTCCCGCTTTCCATCACCCTGCCCCATTCTCCCGCTTTCCATCACCCCGCCCCATTCTCCCGCTTTCCATCACCCCGCCCCATTCTCCCTCCTTCCATCTCCCCGCCCCATTCTCCCGCTTTCCATCACCCCGTCCCATTCTCCCTCCTTCCATCACCCCGCCCCATTCTCCCTCCTTCCATCACCCCGCCCCATTCTCCCTCATTCCATCACCCTGCCCCATTCTCCCGCTTTCTATCACCCCGCCCCATTCTCCCGCTTCCCATAACCCCACCCCATTCTCCCGCTTTCCATCACCCCGCCACATTTTCCCACTTTCCATCACCCCGCCCCCTTCTCTCTCCTTCCGTCACCTCGCCCCATTCTCCCTCCTTCCATCAACCCGCCCCATTCTCCCGCTTTCCATCAGCCCGCCCCATTCTCCCGCTTTCCATTACCCCGCCCCTTTCTCCCGCTTTCCATCTCCCTGCCCCATTCTCCCGCTTTCCATCTCCCCGCCCCTTTCTCCTGCTTTCCATCACCCAGCCCCATTCTCCCGCTTTCCATCAACCCGCCCCATTCTCCCGCTTTCCATCACCCAGCCCCATTCTCCCGCTTTCCATCACCCCGCCCCATTTTCTTGCTTTCCATCACCTCGCCCCGTTCTCCCGCTTTCCATCACCCTGCCCCAATCTCCCGCTTTCCATCACCCCACCCCATTCTCCCTCCATCCATCACCCCGCCCCATTCTCCCGCTTTCCATCAACCCGCCCCATTCTCCCGCCTTCCATCACCCAGCCTCATTCTCCCGCTTTCCATCACCCCGCCCCATTCTCCCGCTTTCCATCACCCCGCCCCATTCTCCCACTTTCCATCACCCCGCCCCATTCTCCCTCCTTCCATCACCCCGCCCCATTCTCCGGCATTCCATCACCCCGTCCCATTCTCCCTCCTTCCATCACCCCGCCCCATTCTCCCTCCTACCATCACCCCGCCCCATTCTCCCGCTTTCCATCAGCCCGCCCCATTCTCCCGCTTCCCATAACCCCACCCCCTTCTCCCGCTTTCCATCACCCCGCCACATTCTCCCGCTTTCTATCGCCCCGCCCTATTCTCCCTCCTTCCATCACCCCGCCCCATTCTCCCGCTTTCCATCACCCCGCCCCATTCTCCCGCTTTCCATCATCCCGCCCCATTCTCCCTCCTTCCATCACCCCGCCCAATTCTCCCGCTTTCCATCACTCCGCCCCATTCTCCCTCCTTCCATCACCCCGCCCCATTCTCCCCCCTTCCATCACCCCGCCCCATTCTCCCGCTTCCCATAACCCCACCCTATTCTCCCGCTTTCCATCACCCCGCCACATTCTCCCACTTTCCATCACCCCGCCCCCTTCTCTCTCCTTCCATCACCCCGCCCCATTCTCCCGCTTTCCATTAGCCCGCCCCATTCTCCCGCTTTCCATCACCCCTCCCATTTCTCCCACTTTCCAACTCCCCGCCCCATTCTCCCGCTTTCCATCACCCCGACCCATTCTCCCGCTTTCCATCACCCCGGCCCATTCTTCCGCTTCCCATCATCCCGCCCCATTCCCCCGCTTTCCATCACCCCTCCCCATTCTCCCTCCTTCCATCACCCCGCTCCATTCTCTCGCTTTCCATCACCCCGCCCCATTCTCCCGCTTTCCATCACCCCGCCCCATTCTCCCGCTTTCCATCACCCCAGCCCATTCTTCCTCCTTCCATCACCCCGCCCCATTCTCCCGCTTTCCATCACCCCGCCCCATTCTCCCTCCTTCCATCACCCCGCCCCATTCTCCCTCATTCCATCACCCCGCCCCATTCTCCCGCTTTCCAGCACCCCGCCCTATTCTCCCGCTTCCCATAACCCCGCCCCATTCTCCCGCTTTCCATCACCCCTCCCCATTCTCCCTCCTTCCATCACCCCGCCCCATTCTCTCGCTTTCCATCACCCCGCCCCATTCTCCCGCTTTCCATCACCCCGCCCCGTTCTCCCGCTTTCCATCACTCCGCCCCATTATACCTCCTTCCATCACCCCGCCCCATTCTCCCTCCTTCCATCACCCCGCCCCATTCTCCCGCTTTCCATCACCCCGCTCCATTCTCCCGCTTTCCATCACCCCGCCCAATTCTCCCTCTTTCCATCACCCCTCAACATTCTCCCTCTTTCCATCACCCCGCCCCCTTCTCCCGCTTTCTATCACCCCGCCCCATTCGCCCTCTTTCCATCACCGCGCCCTGTTCTCCGGCTTTCAATCACCCCGCCCCATTCTCCCGCTTTCCATCACCCCGCCCCATTCTCCATCCTTCCATCACCCCGCCCCATTCTCCCTCTTTCCATCACCCCGCCCCATTCTCCCGCCTTCGCTCACCCAGCCTCACTCTCCCTCTTTACATCACCCCGCCCCATTCTCCCGCTTTCACCCCGCCTCATTCTCCCTCTTTCAATCAACCCGCCCCATTCTCCCTCTTTCCATCACCCCGCCCCGTTCTCCCGCTTTCCATCACCCCGCCCCATTTTCCCTCTTTCCATCACCCCGCCCCATTCTCCCGCTTTCCATCACCCCGCCCCATTCTCCCGCTTTCCATCACCCCGCACCATTCTTCCGCTTTCCATCACCCCTCAACATTCTCCCGCTTTCCATCACCCCGCCCAATTTTCCCTCTTTCCATCACCCCGCCCCATTCTCCCTCTTTCCATCACCCCGCCCCATTCTCCCCCAATCCATCACCCCGCCCCATTTTCACTCTTTCCATCACCCCGTCCCATTCTCCCGCTTTCCATCACCCCGCCCCATTCTCCCGCTTTCCATCACCCCGCTCCATTCTCCCACCTTCCATCACCCCGCCCAATTCTCCCGCTTTCCATCACTCCGCCCCATTCTCCCTCCTTCCATCACCCCGCCCCATTCTCCCCCCTTCCATCACCCCGCCCCATTCTCCCGCTTCCCATAACCCCACCCTATTCTCCCGCTTTCCATCACCCCGCCACATTCTCCCACTTTCCATCACCCCGCCCCCTTCTCTCTCCTTCCATCACCCCGCCCCATTCTCCCGCTTTCCATTAGCCCGCCCCATTCTCCCGCTTTCCATCACCCCTCCCATTTCTCCCACTTTCCAACTCCCCGCCCCATTCTCCCGCTTTCCATCACCCCGACCCATTCTCCCGCTTTCCATCACCCCGGCCCATTCTTCCGCTTCCCATCATCCCGCCCCATTCCCCCGCTTTCCATCACCCCTCCCCATTCTCCCTCCTTCCATCACCCCGCTCCATTCTCTCGCTTTCCATCACCCCGCCCCATTCTCCCGCTTTCCATCACCCCGCCCCATTCTCCCGCTTTCCATCACCCCAGCCCATTCTTCCTCCTTCCATCACCCCGCCCCATTCTCCCGCTTTCCATCACCCCGCCCCATTCTCCCTCCTTCCATCACCCCGCCCCATTCTCCCTCATTCCATCACCCCGCCCCATTCTCCCGCTTTCCAGCACCCCGCCCTATTCTCCCGCTTCCCATAACCCCGCCCCATTCTCCCGCTTTCCATCACCCCTCCCCATTCTCCCTCCTTCCATCACCCCGCCCCATTCTCTCGCTTTCCATCACCCCGCCCCATTCTCCCGCTTTCCATCACCCCGCCCCGTTCTCCCGCTTTCCATCACTCCGCCCCATTATACCTCCTTCCATCACCCCGCCCCATTCTCCCTCCTTCCATCACCCCGCCCCATTCTCCCGCTTTCCATCACCCCGCTCCATTCTCCCGCTTTCCATCACCCCGCCCAATTCTCCCTCTTTCCATCACCCCTCAACATTCTCCCTCTTTCCATCACCCCGCCCCCTTCTCCCGCTTTCTATCACCCCGCCCCATTCGCCCTCTTTCCATCACCGCGCCCTGTTCTCCGGCTTTCAATCACCCCGCCCCATTCTCCCGCTTTCCATCACCCCGCCCCATTCTCCATCCTTCCATCACCCCGCCCCATTCTCCCTCTTTCCATCACCCCGCCCCATTCTCCCGCCTTCGCTCACCCAGCCTCACTCTCCCTCTTTACATCACCCCGCCCCATTCTCCCGCTTTCACCCCGCCTCATTCTCCCTCTTTCCATCAACCCGCCCCATTCTCCCTCTTTCCATCACCCCGCCCCGTTCTCCCGCTTTCCATCACCCCGCCCCATTTTCCCTCTTTCCATCACCCCGCCCCATTCTCCCGCTTTCCATCACCCCGCCCCATTCTCCCGCTTTCCATCACCCCGCACCATTCTTCCGCTTTCCATCACCCCTCAACATTCTCCCGCTTTCCATCACCCCGCCCAATTTTCCCTCTTTCCATCACCCCGCCCCATTCTCCCTCTTTCCATCACCCCGCCCCATTCTCCCCCAATCCATCACCCCGCCCCATTTTCACTCTTTCCATCACCCCGTCCCATTCTCCCGCTTTCCATCACCCCGCCCCATTCTCCCGCTTTCCATCACCCCGCTCCATTCTCCCACTTTCCAACACCCCGCCCTATTCTCCCTCTTTCCATCACCCCTCCCCATTCTCCCTCTTTCCATCATCCAGCCCCATTCTGTTATAGTCACAGTAGGCTCCAATGTGCCTAAAACGAAAGATAGAGTGCACAGTCGGATTTCTGCACAGCGGCTTCAAACGTTCATAGCGTTCTGGTGACAGCTTCAAATGACTTGATTCAACTTGGATCTGGAGCGTCTTATTGTCGCCTACAATAGGCAATTTAGATCGCACGATTTGACCAAGTATTGACGACACAGTGTCGGTTTGAACGAACGGCACTATGGCAGCCACTATAGTCTTAGAACACAAAATAGGAAGAGATCTGAAGAGTTACGAGTTGGGAATGACTCCCAGCTCCTACAAACCCCAAGAGCCGAGGTACAGTGATGTGGAACAGTGCCACACTGTCCCCAACCACGAAGGGTCTCGAAACTACCCTTCACTAGGGCCTACACCAAGTGAAATGTTACACTACACAAAGTAATGTAACTATCTTCAATATCTTGAGGTGTACCCTTTTGGCGAGCTTTGAAATCACTTGAGGCTTGACACCAAGGCTCGGGCTCTTCATCACAAACTCATCCTTGAGTTCTTGATGGGTCTGCTGCACACACCTGCGACACACCGAACGTTCGACACAGGACAAAATAGAAACCGCGCACGACAAAATAGAAACCGCGCGCGAGACACAAACGACCGCGTAACACGCGTCTAGCGATAACTCGCTATTGACCCGACACATACACTCGACATCATGACTCAACATTCACACACAATTATAAGCATGAAATATATATTATCCCATGCCCTCATACCATTCCATACACACACACACATGCACGCACACGGACAACAAGCCGAGTGCAAACCATAGGGTTGCACCAACAAACTCCCCCTCGGATTGTTGGCCCTTCGGATATGTTGCTCTCTCAGTTCAGAGCCATCCCAGCCAGCTTGCAACACTTCCAATGCTGCTGCTCCACCAGCCTCTTGGTCATCATGTCAGCCGGCTGCCCCGTGGTTTTCACGTAGCGCAACTCAACTTCACCCGCGGTTACCATGCTCCTCGTCCAATGCCACTTCACCCTCATGTGCTTCGTGAGTCCATGCAACACAGGGTTCTTAGCAAGAGCAATGGCACCCTGGCTGTCACAATATAGTGGGGTAGGTCCTTGCTGCTCCTCCCCCAATTCAGCCAACAAACGCCGCTGCCACACAATCTCCCGTACGGCACGGAAGAGTGCCATGTACTCGGACTCCACCGAGCTCAAAGCTTGGTCAACCTGCTTCTTGCTCTCCCAAGCAGTTGGGCCTCCACCAACACAGCATATGAAGCCTCCCACACTTGTCATGTCCTCTGGTTCTGATGCATATGAAGCATCCGAGTAGGCGGTGAGGAATAAACGCCCGGGTTCAACACCATCCGCGCCCTTTTGGCGCCTTTGTGCCGCCGCCGAGTATTGCAGCCCAACGGTCGGTGTTTGGCCAAGGTACTTGGCCACCCTCATTCCAGCTGCTACCTGCTCCTCATTAGGGCATTGCACAACCCTAGCCAGCTGCCCGGTAGCAAACGCGACGTCCGGTCGGGTGTTTACCGCCGCATACATGAGGCTGCCCACCAACGAGTGAAATCGGCGCCTCTCCTCTTCTCCAACGCTCTCCTCCTCTGGCCCCTTCACACACTTGAACCCAGAGGGAAAGGGAGTAGCCACATGACCTTCACTCTGGCCAAAGTTGGCAGCCAACGCCTCCAGGTACTTCCGTTGGTGCACTCGCATGCTCCGCTTCTCCACGTCTCGTTCGATGTGGAGCCCAAGGTAGAAGTTCACGTCACCAAGGGACTTGCACTTGAACTTGTCATGCAGCTTCAGCATCACCTCCTTCACAAGGTCAGAGGAGGGTGAGAATATGAGAATGTCATCCACATAAACCACCATGAAGCTCCTCTGTTCCCCCTCGCCAAGCATGAACAAGGAGTGATCGGCCGTTGAGGGAGTGAAGCCGATCTCCTCCAACACTTCGCGCAGCTTCATGTACCATTGCCTAGGGGCCTGCTTCAGCCCATAGAGGGCCTTCTTCAGCTTCCACACTCTGCCACTACCATCATCAAACCCCTCTGGCTGCGCCATAAAAATCTCCTCCTCAAGGATGCCGTTGAGGAATGCCGTCACAATGTCCATTTGCTTCACCACCCATCCTTTGATGGCGGCTCCCGCGAATAGGGTTCGCAGCGTCGTCGGCTTCACCACAGGGGCAAACAGCTCCTTGAAGTCCACCTTCTCCTTCTGCTGGTACCCCTTGGCTACAAGCCTAGACTTGTAACGCTCGATCTTGCCGTCGGCATCCGACTTGATTTTGAAGAGCCACTTGGACGTTATCGCCGTACGCCCCTCCGGTAGCTCCACCAATTCAAACGTGTCATTCTCCTCGATGCTCTTCAGCTCACTCTCCATGGCATTCTTCCACTCCTCAGCATCACTACTCTCCAAAGCCTCCTTGAGAGTTGCTGGTTCTCCTGGCATCTCCACCGGAGAGAAGAACGCGAAGGCACACTCCTCGTAGTCACTCTCCTCGTCGTCTCCGACCATCATTGCCGCTCCGGCCAGGGCTGTCTTGCCTTGCTTTCCAAGTGCATCATAGGTCAGCCTATTAGGGGGTTGAACTCTCCTCTTCCCCCTTCCTTCCTCCTCAGCTGCAGGGACTTGAAGGCCTTGGCGTTGCTGGGGTGTGGCTCGATTCCGTGGAGCACTCGTGGTACGGGAAGGGAGTGACGGTGCACGCTCGCTCACTTGCTGCACCTCCTCCTCTTCTTCCTCTGCATCAGTGGCCTCCTCTCCCCCATGCACAAGGGAGGATTGCCTCGTGGTTGTGCTGCCGCTGCTCAGCTCCAAAGGCAGCTCCACATGCTCCAAACCGGAACTCTTCACCTCCCCAAACCGCACGCCTATCTTCGCCTCATTCTCCGCCTTCCAATCCTTGTACATGAAGTTCTCCATGAACTTGCAGTCCCTGCTCACCAAGAACTTCTTGGTGAATGGGTCCCAAAGAAGCCATCCCTTGCTGTTTTGAGCCATGCCCAAGTGCACGGCCCACACCGCCTTGGCACCAAGCTTGTTGTGCCGAAGATGCTTAGGCACAAGCGCCATGCACATGCACCCGAACACCCGAAGCATATCCACCTTTGGCTTCCTTCCTAGCCACTCCACATAGGGCACCCATTTGTCTGCTCCCACATGAGTCAAGGCTCTGTTCTTGGCCACACATGCGCTCCGCACCGCATCAGGCCAGAAATAGTCGGGTAGCCCGGCTTCAATGAGCAACCCGCGTGCCGCCTCCGTGATTGTGCGGTTCGCTCGCTCAGCGATGCCGTTCATTGCAGGGGAGTATGGCATGGTGAGGGAGTGTCGAATACCATTCTTCTTCAGCCACAACCCAAACTCCTTGCTCAGGAACTCTCCCCCTCGATCGGTGCGGATTGACTTGACTAGACGGTCTTGTTGCCGCTCCACCATCGGGAACCAATCCGCCTTCAACGTTTCAGCCACGTCGCTCTTCTTGGCCAGCACGTACACCCAAGTCATACGGGTGTAGACGTCCACAATAGTGAGGAAGTACTCAGCTCCAGCAGCTCCAAGCTTCAGGGGGCCCACCACGTCCATCACCACCTCATCAAGCGGTGCCTTTGCCGTTGCCTCCGAACTAGAGAACGGAAACCGGGTGAACTTGGCTTGAATGCACGTCGGGCAGCCAAGCACCTCATCGGGCTCCCCCTTCACACGTATGCCAGCAACCATCTCATTCTTCACTAGCTGCTGCAAGATAGGCAGGGCCACATGCCCCATGCGCCGATGCAAGGTGAGCCAATCACACTCCCCCGTAGCCGAAGTTGGATTGGAGAATGCCGCGCTCGCAATAGCGCCCCACATACTCTCTCCGTAGTCCTCCTCCGCTGTTGCCTCGGGGTTCTCCTCACCCTTTTGCTGCTCCTTGGTTGCTGCACCACTCTCCTTAGGTTCACTGAACTTGCTGGTCCCTCCAAGATTGCACTTCTTGGACTCCTTCTCCTTAGCGCGACCGTCCGCGCAATCGCCGCTACCAATCGCTCCACCTTTAGTGCTGACGCTTGCTGCCACTTGCCTCTCCTTAGGCATTGGGACCACAGGGATCTGCCACATCTCGTTGTAGACATCTCTGTCCTCATGAAGGTCCCAAAGAATCCGATCGCCAAGCCTTGCGGTGTAGGTCTTGGCTCCCTTCGAGTTAGTGTCCATGCCGGCCTTTGCCAACCGCCGCACGGAAATCAGGTTCGCAGCAAGGCTGGGCACCCAAAGCACGTTCTTGAGGCCCACCATCTTCCCATCAGCACCCTTGAACATGGCCTTCCCCATGCCTTTCACCTCTGCTCGCTGCCCCAAAGCCGATGTGACATGCTTCACCGGTGACGGCTCGAGTTCGGTGAGCAAGTCCGGGCGAGGTGTCATGCTATAGGTAGCGCCACTATCAATCACCCAATAGTCCAGGGGGTGTAGGGTCACCTTCCCCACAGCTGCTGGCTCCTCAAAGCCTTCATCCTTCTCTGGACCAGCCGGTACTTGCGTCGACACGAAGTAGAATAGACCCGGGTATCGATCGTCGCTCGGGTCCTTGTCGTTGTCTCCGCTCTTCATGTTTGCAGCTCCGCCACCGCGACCGCCACGGCCTCCACGGCCTCGTCCTCTCCCTCCTCCTGCTCCTCTACCCTCTTGGCCTTGAGCAGGGGTCCAACCATCAGGGAGTTTGTAGCAGTCGCGCCACATGTGTCCGCTCTTGTGGCAATAGTGACACTCGCCGTCGAATCGGCCGCGACCGCGTCCGTAGTTCTTGTCGTCGCTGCCGTAACCGCCACTCCCGCGGCCTCCGCCGAAGTTGCTGCCACCAAACCTTCCTCCCCCTCGTCCTCTGCCTCTTCCTCGACCATATCCACGGCCGATGCTCGCTGCCCCAGCGCCATCCGCACTCGCCAACTCACGGCGGCGGAAATCCTCTTGAAGGATAGCTCGCTTCACGTCTTCAAGCGAGAGGCGGGGCAAGTCGCGATTAAGGTTGATGATGAGCGAGGACCATGACTCCGGGAGTAGGGCCAGCAACTTGGTCTTCTTTTGGAGCTCACTATAGTTCAAATCAGCTCCCTCAAGCCGCGTCAACAAGTCGAAGAATTTCTGCACCCCTTCTTCAACCGCTTCATCCTCTTCAATTCGTAACGTCGCCATTTGCCGTTCCAACACCACAGCTACCGCCGCTGTTGCAGGAGCGTGTACACCCTTGAGAGCAGCCCATGCTTTTGGTCCCTTCTCTGGTTCACGCTGGAAAGGCTTGATGTGACGGATTTGGCTGCTCCCCAACGCTTGCCCAAGTAGGAGGTAGCCTTGTGCGCTCTTCCGCACCCACGGGCTCTTCTCCGGGTCGTTCTCGGGACGCTTCTCCGTTCCTTCCATCACCTCCAGCAGGTCATAGTGGTCAAATATGTTCTCCATTCTGAAGGACCACTCAGCAAAGTTGTCACCATTGAACTTGTCAAGGCCAAACACTCTAGGCTCATCCCTAGATGGGCCAACACTTGGTTGCACGGGCGCCATGGCTGAGTCACGGGGTTGGCCTTGAGCTTGGGCTTCTCCTCTGCCACCAGCACCTCTGCCACCCCTTTCCTCAGGTCCAGCCATTGTCGAAACTGCTCCAAGGGGCTCTGATACCACTTGTTATAGTCACAGTAGGCTCCAATGTGCCTAAAACGAAAGATAGAGTGCACAGTCGGATTTCTGCACAGCGGCTTCAAACGTTCATAGCGTTCTGGTGACAGCTTCAAATGACTTGATTCAACTTGGATCTGGAGCGTCTTATTGTCGCCTACAATAGGCAATTTAGATCGCACGATTTGACCAAGTATTGACGACACAGTGTCGGTTTGAACGAACGGCACTATGGCAGCCACTATAGTCTTAGAACACAAAATAGGAAGAGATCTGAAGAGTTACGAGTTGGGAATGACTCCCAGCTCCTACAAACCCCAAGAGCCGAGGTACAGTGATGTGGAACAGTGCCACACTGTCCCCAACCACGAAGGGTCTCGAAACTACCCTTCACTAGGGCCTACACCAAGTGAAATGTTACACTACACAAAGTAATGTAACTATCTTCAATATCTTGAGGTGTACCCTTTTGGCGAGCTTTGAAATCACTTGAGGCTTGACACCAAGGCTCGGGCTCTTCATCACAAACTCATCCTTGAGTTCTTGATGGGTCTGCTGCACACACCTGCGACACACCGAACGTTCGACACAGGACAAAATAGAAACCGCGCACGACAAAATAGAAACCGCGCGCGAGACACAAACGACCGCGTAACACGCGTCTAGCGATAACTCGCTATTGACCCGACACATACACTCGACATCATGACTCAACATTCACACACAATTATAAGCATGAAATATATATTATCCCATGCCCTCATACCATTCCATACACACACACACATGCACGCACACGGACAACAAGCCGAGTGCAAACCATAGGGTTGCACCAACACATTCTCCCGCTTTCCATCACCCCGCCTCATTCTCCCTCTTTCCATCACCGCGCCCCATTCTTCCTCTTTCCATCACCCCGCCCCATTCTCTCGCTTTCCATCACCCCGCCCCATTCTCCCGCTTTCCATCACACCGCCCCATTCTCCCGCTTTCCATCACCCCGCTCCATTCTCCCGCTTTCCATCACCCCGCCCAATTCTCCTTCTTTCCATCACCCCTCTCCATTCTCCCTCTTTCCATCACCTCGCTCCATTCTCCCTCTTTCCATCACCCCTCCCCATTCTCCCTGTTTCCATCACCCCGCCCCATTCTCCCTCTTTCCATCACCTCGCCCCATCCTCCCTCTTTCCATCACCCCGCACCATTCTCCTGCTTTCCATCACCCCGTCCCATTCTCCAGCTTTTCATCACCCCGCCCAATTTTCCCTCTTTGCATCACCCCGACCCATTCTCCCTCTTTCCATCACCCCGCCGCATTATCCCCCAATCCATCACCCCTCCCCATTTTCACTCTTTCCATCACCCCGTCCCATTCTCCCGCTTTCCATCACTCCGCCCCATTCTCCCTCTTTCCATCACCCCGCCCCATTCTCCCCCAATCTATCACCCCGCCCCATTTTCACTCTTTCCATCACCGCGTCCCGTTCTCCCGCTTTCCATCACCCCGCCCCATTCTCCCGCTTTGCATCACCCCGCTCCATTCTCCCGCTTTCCAACACCTCACCCAATTCTCCCTCTTTCCATCACCCCTCCCCATTCTCCCTCTTTCCATCACCCGCCCCATTCTCCCGCTTTCCATCAGCCCGCCCCATTCTCCCTCTTTTCATCACCGCGCCCCATTCTCCCTCTTTCCATCACCCCGTCCCATTCTCTCGCTTTCCATCACCCCGCCCAATTCTCCCTCTATCCATCACCCCGCCCCATTCTCCCTCTTTCCATCACCTCGCCCCATCCTCCCGCTTTCCATCACCCTGCACCATTCTCCCTCTTTCCATCACCCCGCCCCATTCTCCTGCTTGCCATCACCACGTCCCATTCTCCCGCTTTCCATCACCCCGCTCCATTCTCCCGCTTTCCATCACCCCGCCCAATTTTCCCTCTTTCCATCACCCCGACCCATTCTCCCTCTTTCCATCACCCCGCCCCATTCTCCCCCAATCCATCACCCCGCCCCATTTTCACTCTTTCCATCACCCCGTCGCATTGTCCCGCTGTCCATCACCCCGCCCTATTCTCCCACTTTCCATCACCCCGTCCCATTTTCCCGCTTTCCATCACCCCGCCCCATTCTCCTGCTTTCCATCACCCAGCTCCATTCTCCCGCTTTCCATCACCCCGCCGAATTCTCCCTCTTTCCATCACCCCTCCCCATTCTCCCTCTTTCCATCACCCCGCCCCATTCTCCCGCTTTCCATCACCCCGCCCCATTCTCCTTCTTTCCATCACCCCCCCCCATTCTCCCGTTTTCTATCACCCCGCCCCATTCTCCCTCTTTCCATCACCCCGCCCCATTCTCCCGCTTTCCATCACCCCGCCCCATTCTCCCTCTTTCCATCACCCCGCCCTATTCTCCCGCTTTCCATCACCCCGCCCCATTCTCCCTCTTTCCATCACCCCGCCCCATTCTCCCTCTTTCCATCGCCCCGCCCCATTCTCCCGCTGTCCATCACCCCGCCCCACTCTCCATCTTTCCATCACCCCACCCCGTTCTCCCGCCTTCCATCACCCCGCCCCATTCTCCATCCTTCCATCACCCCGCCCCATTCTCCAGCCTTCCATCACCCAGCCCCATTCTCCCGCTTTCCATCACCCCGCCCCATTCTCCCTCTTTCCATCACCTCGCCCCATCCTCCCTTTTTCCATCACCCCACACCATTCTCCCGCTTTCCATCACTCCGCCCAATTCTCCCTCCTTCTATCACCCCTCCCCATTCTCCCTCTTTCCATCACCCCGCCCCATTCTCCCGCTTTCCATCACCCTGCCCCATTCTCCCTCTTTCCATCACCCCGCCCTATTCTCCCGCTTTCCATCACCCCGCCCCATTCTCCCTCTTTCCATCACCCCGCCCCATTCTCCCTCTTTCCATCGCCCCGCCCCATTCTCCCGCTGTCCATCACCCCGCCCCACTCTCCATCTTTCCATCACCCCGCCCCGTTCTCCCGCCTTCCATCACCCCGCCCCATTCTCCATCCTTCCATCACCCCGCCCCATTCTCCAGCCTTCCATCACCCAGCCCCATTCTCCCGCTTTCCATCACCCCGCCCCATTCTCCCTCTTTCCATCACCCCGCCCCATCCTCCCTTTTTCCATCACCCCACACCATTCTCCCGCTTTCCATCACTCCGCCCAATTCTCCCTCCTTCTATCACCCATCCCCATTCTCCCTCTTTCCATCACCCCGCCCCATTCTCCCTCTTTCCATCACCCCGCCCCATTCTCCCTCTTTCCATCACCCTTCCCCTTTCTCCCTCTTTCCATCACCCCGCCACATTCTCCCTCTTTCCATCACCCTGCCATATTCTCCCTGTTTCCATCACCCTGCCCTATTCTCCCTGTTTCCATCACCCCGCCCCATTCTCCCGCTTTCCATCACCCTGCCCCATTCTCCCTCTATCCATCACCCCGCCCCATTTTCCCGCTTTCCTTCGCCCCGTCCCATTTTCCCGCTTTCCATCACCCCCCCTCATTCCCTTTCTTTCCATCACCTCGCCCCATTCTCCCGCTTTCCATCACCCCGCCCCATTCTCCCGCTTTCCATCGCTCCGCCCCGTTAAAAACGAGGCTTCGCTGTCCCTCAATCGACCTGGTTTGCCTCCGGCCCGTGAGGCACACCATCTTCCCCGTCTCTCCTAGGTAGGCTCCGGTTGCCCCCGTAAACGAGGGTTCCCGTCGACCTCCTCGGAGGGTCTGGGGTAGCAGCGCTTGCCAACCTGCAACGGTTTCCCGTTGCCCTTTCTCCCTCGGGCCCTCGCGGCCCCCCCTCCCCAACACATTTGGGGCTCTGCATTTTATTTTAGCCAGAGCCCCCGCCTCCCAGATGGCCCTCCGCACCACAAGTACGTCCCGCCCCCTACCTCTGGGGGTCAAACTGCACGCCAACCCTCCGAAGAGTGTCGACGCACACAAAACATTCGGGCGTCCCGGTCCACGTCTCACGTGTCCCCATGTGGTGAATCATAGAGGCCTCGAAGGCTCGACGGATTGCATGGGCAATCCGTCGGACCTTTGTGGAGAGGGTCCTTTACCTCCTCTTCCACGTATTATTACTACAGAAAGTAGCTCGATCACCGTGGCTTACCAGTCGTTAAATGTTTCTAGTGCATCAAAGGGCAAGTGTGACAACACATAAAAAAACCTACGCCCTTTTCCTAGTTCAATCACATGGATTACGTTGGCTTACCAACATTAGCGGCCAACACAAAAACAAAGCCAGAAAGATTGACGTCATGATGCTACCCTACCAAGCCCGTGGACCATTCACTTGGATCACGTTGGGTTACCTTGATAAAGGGCCCAACACTAAATCTTACCGAGGCTCCTAGGGAGACAAAACTATTGAAAGAGCTATTCCTGGATTATTCCTAGGCCAATCACTTGGATAACGCTGGGTTACCTCCTTCCATAGATGAGGAAGTAGTGCTCTTATATTGTGAGCGGGGTGATGGAAAGAGGAATAGTACGTGGATAACATAAGGAGAATGGTACGTGGACGCGAGTTGAATCTTGGAAGCGGGAGAATGGGAGCGTCTGTGGACAGGGTCGCCGTAGAGCAGTTGACTGATTCCATTCATAACTCCGTTCGAGCAGTTGGCACCGATTCCCTATGAAATGGAAAAGGGCAGTATGCAGACGGAAGAACGTCGCAGGTCTGCCTGGTCGGTCGTCGAGGCCTGAGAACCATCCAGCAAGCGAGGAGCGCGGGAGACGGAGATGCGCAGATGTCATCGGTGCAGACAAGAAGGACATCAGCAGCGAGATTGCAGCAGGCCGCCGAGATGCGACCACTGCCAGGAGGAAGGACACATGCGACGGGAATGTCCGGAGCTCCCCACGTGCGAAAACTGCGGCAGGCGGGGCCATCGCACCTCTGATTGTTACAGCTGGAGGCCGGGCTCAGCAGGTCCAAGGAACAAAGAGGACCTGGAGGCTCAGCTTCGGGTGCTGCAGGCAAGAATTCGGGAATTGGAGGGCGCGCCACACAAGGAGCCAGCCATGCTGGCAAAGGAGGAAGAGGAAGGGGGCAGCAAGGCCGAGTTTGTGCTCATGGTGCGAGCCCCACGGCAGCGAGACGAGATCGAACTCAGGAGTGATCGCGCGGGGGAGAGGCCGCTGCCAGCCCCGAGGGTGCGGCGATTTCGCGGGTACGCGGCAGAACCGGAACAAGAAATGACCTCAGAGAGGCACCCCAAGGAGCACATGGTGTGTCAGCCATCGGTGTTGACAATTGAAAAGGGCGCCATCACGGTGGGAGGAGCGGCGGTGGCGCAGGCCATAATCGACACGGGAGCGCATCACATCCTACTTGGGAAAGGGCTAGCTCAGAGACTGGAGCTTGCACAGCCCAATCGGCTCATCACGCGTGGCATCCTGGTCATGACAGCTGAAGGGGGAGAGCCGAAATGGATGCCATGCACCCGCATGCCGGTTGAGGTAATTCTGCGGCCAGGCACGAAGGATGAATGCCGAATTCGGATGCGGTGCGGCATCTCGCCATCAGAAGACTTTGACCTGCTGATAGGCATGGAGCTGCTTTATCGGGTGGGTGCAACAATCTGCACCTGGCAGGAGAAGGTGCTGTATCGAGCGCAATACTGGAGAGACGACGGACCCGTGGGCATGCTGCCGGTGCACTTCGTCAGGCGTGAGCCCGGGGAGGCCTTCCGAGCACGCATGGCGGAGGTGGAGGAACAGATAGAGGACTGGTTGTGGAAGCAGTACGTGCTGGAGCGAGAGACGCGCAGGGCGGAGGAAGAGAACGCCGAGCGACCGCTGGCGCTGCCCCCGCGGCTGACAGATTAGGCTCGCCTGTAGGAGCCAATCACCCTCATCGAGCTGTTTGGAGGAATCAGGACGGGACTGGCGGCAGCACTGAAGGCGGGATGCAGAGTGAAGAAGTGGGTGTTGGTGGAATTAGACCCCGTAGTGCGGAGAATGGCGTTCAACCATGCAAGGAAGCTCAAAGGATTGTACCCGACTCAGCTGATGTCAGGCGTGGAGGCAGAAGCAGGAGAAGAAATTATCCACGACATCCGAGAGGTAGCCGCAGAAGACGTGCGACGGTGGGGACGGGTGGATCTGCTCGTGGCCGGATGGGAATGCCAAGGAGTGTCAAGGGCCGGGAAGGGCAAGGGACTGGAAGACCCCAGGTCCACGCTCTTCTTGGAACTGCTGCGAATCATGAAGCTGATATATCAGCAGCATGGGGAATATCTGTACATCTTGGAGAATCCCGACTTCTCGACCGACTGCAGAGACCCAGTGCGCAGAATGATGGAAGTGGCGGCAGAAGCACTCGGACCGGGAGTAGCGTGGGACGCGGTGCAGCAGGGGTCCTACTCGCACAGAGTCAGGCGCTACTGGCAGAATGGAGTCTCAGAATGGAGACTCAGGTGGGAGCTCATACAAACCGAGAGGCCCTCACCGCGCCCTGTGGAAGACATCCTGGAAGCTCACAGGGAGCCAGCACCGGTGGTTAAGCCGGACCATCCCAGCCAGTTTCAGTGTAATGAGCCTGGGCTGCCGAGAGAAGCATGGCCCACCCTCGTGGCGCACCACCAGGCGCATGGTTTTGTGTGGAGCGAAGGGCTGCCAGGCCCCGGCATGGTGTATGACCGGCTGAAAGATCGCTGGGAAGAACCCACAGCCCGTGAGCGGGAACTGGTGATGGGATTCATCCTAGAAGCCACGGCGGCACCAGGAGTGGAGGAGGCTAGGCGGAGGGAAGCGCTAGGGCGAGCAATGGACGTGGAGGCCATGCACTGGCTGGTGCATGTGATACAGACGCACCTCGCATCGAAGCAGCTGGAAATGGAAGTAGAGGTGGGAGGCCCGGGGGATGCAAGCGAGGGAGAGGTGCGTGCCAGCCAGCAGAGAGCAGAGCAGCTTCTCTTGGAGATGCAGACCGAGAAGAAGCAGCAGAGGGAACGGGGTTGGGCGCTAATGGCACTGGGGGTGGCAATGGCAGGCGAAGCGGCTACGGAGGCTAGCGAGCCGACAGCGTCAAGCGAAGCAGAGGCGATGGGAGCAGGCCCGGGCCAGCAGGAGCCAGCGGCGGCGGCAGCACCAGAGACGGAGGCAGAGAGAACGGGAGTCATGGCGGCGGATCAGCCAGCGATGCAAGAAGAGGAAACCTGGGACGTGGGGGAAGGATTAACGGGAGATCTCCAAGAGCAAATGTGGATGGTGCTGAGGAAGAATCGCCAGGCATTTGCCTTCACGCTGCTAGAGCTCGGCAAGTACAACGGGGGAGAAATGGAGATACGACTGACAGAAGAGGTGCCGGTGTACCAGCGGAAGCGCCGCATGAGCCCAGGAGATCTCGACGTCTACAGAGACAAGTGCCGGGAGCTGCTAGAGGCCGGGCTGATCAGGCCCTCAAAGTCAGTGTACGTAGCCGCGACCGTGGTGGCCGCGAGGAAGGAGCTGACGGGAGAAGTCCTGTCGCGACGCATGTGTGGCGACTACAGAGATCTCAACAAGCTGACGGTCGCCAACCTCTACCACATGCCAACGCCCGAGGAGCTCTTCGACAAGCTGCAGGGGGCAGTAATCTTCAGCACGCTAGACCTCCGCCAGGGCTTCAACCAGATACGGATTGTGGAGGCTGACGTGATGAAGACTGCATTTCACGGACCGGACGGACTTTACGAGTGGCTGTTCATGTCTTTTGGGCTGAAGAACGCATCGGCGGTATTCCAGAAGGCGATGGATCTGGTGCTGCGCGCGCTGCAGCACTGCGCAGCCTGCTATATAGACGACGCGGTGGTGTTCAGCACGTCGCCCGAGCAACACGTGAAAGACGTGCAGCAGGTCTTGGAGGCCATCAAGGGGGCAGGGCTCACGTGCCACCCCAAGAAGTGCCGCTTCGGCACCAACACGGTGCGCTACCTGGGATTCGAAGTGTGCGGGGGACAGATGACCATTCAGCAGGCGAATGTTGCGGTGCTGGACAAACTGGCGATCCCGGATAATCGTTCTGCGCTGAGGGCGATCTTGGGCTTCTTGAACTATTACCGCAGGTTCGTCCCAAACTTCAGTAAGCGGGTGGCCTCCTTGAACAGGCTGCTGCGGGAGGACGTGGCGTGGAAGTGGGGAGAAACCGAGCAGGGGGCACTGCGAGATCTGCTGGAGGCGGTCAAGTCAGGGCCCGTGCTCCTGCTGCCAAAGCCAGAGGCCAGGTTTGTCCTATACACCGACTGGAGTAGCGCAGGAATGGGCGTCGTGCTCTGTCAAGAGACAGAACAAGGAGAGAGGGTGGTGGCCTTTGCAAGTCACAGCTGCAATGCAGCAGAAGCAAACTACAGCTCGTACGAGGGGGAGGGCTGGCAGTCTAGGCCGTAACCCACTTTCGGATGTATCTGCAGGGGCGGGAATTCACTCTGGTGACAGACCACCAGCCACTGCTGTGGCTGATGACGAACCACACACTGACGGGCTGCAACGCGAGGCGGGCCATGCACCTGCAGGAGTTCGATTTCGTAATCAAGCACAGGCCAGGCAAGACTCTCCAGCACGTGGATGGGCTATCTCGCAACCCACCAGCAGCAGAGCCGTT